GACCACACAGCAGACAGTAGAAGGGATAACAGAGTATAAGGGCTCTAGTAGGGGGAGGCAGGCTATCTGAGGGTGCCATCTGGGAAGTGGGTGTGTAGTTGAATAAGATGGTTTGGGATGTTCGGTGTCATACACACACACACACACACACACACAAAATAATCAACAAATTTTAAAATATGTATTTGAGGAGGAAGCATAAATATTTGCATCATGTTAATTAGTAGAGGTGATAAACATTATCATTGAAATCTACCCGATGACTTTATAGACATACACAGGTGTCAAGGATCTGAGTGCAACCGATTATGACTAGTAGCAATCAGATACATAGAGATTAGAGATGCGTGTGCCAACATCTCAGTGTTATGAGCGAAAACAATGAGTCTTTCTGTAAGAAACAGTATATTTTAAAATGAAATGGAGATGTTTTTTAAAGGTTAAAAACTCATTCAGTTTTATGTCTTATAAGGGTTATACTGAGTTCAATATTGTATAACTGTATTAATTTAACTGTGAACTTAAATATTTTATAGCCACTTTTGAAAGAGATGTATCTTTGCTCTGGAAGCTGTTACTGAATGTATTAAAGCTGTAATGATATGCTTCTTCTAAAAAAATAAAAAATAATATTAAAATAAAAAAGTGTATAAACATAAAAATAATACTAGGCAAAAGCCTAAATTAGGATTATGCCATTTTCTTGTTTAATGATTTAGAAAGTGTTTCTGTAAAGCATGTTAAAGCAAGAATGATGCAAAGGACATGTTTCATGCCTGTTATTTGTCTCTCATTTTATTCACAGAACGAGAATTCATTTTAAACTGGAGAAAGAGGCTTACCGACATTCAGACAGAGGATTGGAAAGTGTGCACACGCTGGATGTTTAAATAAGTTGATTACTAGACAGAAAAAGTATTAGATTTTAAAAGAGTTTGAAGGGGCTGGAGAGATGGCTTGGCAGTTAAGAGCACTGGTTGCTCTTGCAAAGGACCAAGATTCGATTCCCAGCACCTACATGGAGATGAATAAGCATTGTCCATAACTCCAGTTTCAGGGGAGCTGATGCCTCTTCTGTCCTCATCAGGCATTGCACCACATGGATGCACTTACATGCCTGCAGGCCATACATTCATCCACATAAAATAAAATGAAAATAATAAATAAAATAAAGAATAAAAGAATTTGAAGAAAAAAAGTTGTTTAAACTTGATATAAATAATCATGCTATTAATTGGTTGTTTCCATAAAAGTACAGAAGTTAAATTGGTTCAGAGATATGAATTCATTTTTATAAAACAGATGTTCTTAACGAATACCTTTACCCCTGTCATATGTTTATACCTGAATAGGATCTTCTTATCATTGGGGATGTAGTAATCTCTGATTTCCTTTATTGTGAACGTGTTGCTTGGAGAGTCTCGGGAGAGGCATGGGAGTGGAGTGTAAGAGCCAATGAGACGGAGCTTCCATCGCGAGCCCGACACATACCCGTCACCAGTAAATGCTTCCGCCACAAACATATAGCCTTTCTAGAAGAAAATGAAGTAACACAGGCACGACTTATGCTGCCACTGGCCCTCAAATGTACCTTATATATCATGGGATTAAAATGCGTTACTATTTTGGTATTCATATAGATCCCAAGATCTTTCAATAACCATTAAACCATTAACATTGCACTTTTGAAGCTCATCTTAGAAAGCCTAATCTTAGGGATGAGGGTTTATTCCAGTGGAGGCATGATTGCTTCACTTGTGTGAAGTCCTGGGTTTATCCTTAGTGCTGTAAATATAATAAAAATAAATAAATAAATAAGCAAATAAACAAGTAGATTTCAGACAGGTAAATGGGCAAATACATTATCTTTCATGTTTTTGGGAAAATCAACTCTATTGTTTTTCTTAGTATGGTTCCCTAAGTACAAAATAAGTGTGATATTTACTGTTGTTCCTCATGTTTTCTAAAGTGTTCTTTAAAGTTATTGCATTATCTTAGAGTCGTCAGCAGCTTCTGACCTGAATTTCCTGCCTGCCATACTAATCTTTCTAAAATCCTGACTGTTTATGACAATGCAGTTCCTTTGAAGTGGCAGGTAAAGCTATTAAAACAACAGCTCATAGGAGCTCAGGAAACCTGGATTCAGTTCTGATGTGAGCTCTGTAGACTGGAGAAAAGAGCTAGTTGAAGAGTATGGAAAGGTGTCTACAAACTGGATAAGAGCCTGGCTCAGCATAATTAGATGTCTGGCCAAAAAGTTAGTGAGTCACAAACTTGACATCATAGCAGGAAACAACAGCTGAAGGTGATATTGGGTTGATAATTCCAGAAACTACTAATGAGGATTGAAAAAAGATAGATTTGTTCTCTAGTTGTTCTCTGTTGCAGAGGATGCTTTTTGCTGTGTCTGGATTTCCAGAAACAAAACATAAATCTACACCAGTCATAAGAATGCATAAACTTATTAAATATGTCAATGCTGTTGTAATGGAATGCTTCTTCTAATTATATGGTTATTAAATACTTATAAAAAAAGATGCATAAACTCTCAACAGACATCCAGGAGTATTAGCCAGAATTCCAAGACTTGTAATGAGATGAATGGAGCAACATCAAATAGATCTCTCTCTCTCTCTCTCTCTCTCTCTCTCTCTCTCTCTCTCCCTCTCTCTCTTCTGTGTGTATGCATGTGGTATGTGCTTATGTGTATATATGGGTGCATGCATCTATGCATATGCACAAAAGCCAGAGGATACCCTGTTCTACCATTCTCTACCGTATTCCTTTGAGAAAATCTTTCACTAAAACTGGACCTACGCTGATGGCTAGCAACCCTCCATAGTCCTCTTGACTCTGCCCCACCCTCCAGCACTGCAGTTATAGGCACATGTGTAGCCATGCCTGGCGTTTCACATGAATTCTGGGGATTTGAACTCAGGATTTTATGCTTGGCAGTAACTACTTTTACCAGCTGCTCCATCGCCCCTGCCTACAATAAGAAATTTGACATCATGTTCAGAGCAGGTAGAAGGAAGATGAGTGACGCATGATGAAGACTATTTACTTGTAAAGTATAATGTATAGATTTATTATTTGAGCTTCCTGAAATGTATTAAAGAAGCAAAAGAAATTGGCATGGCTGTTTGTGTTGGCACAGACTTAGAGAATAATTTTAAAAGGCAAAGTGTATAAAACCATATAAGATCAATATCAGTAAATAAAAATATAAAGCTAAACCTGTTCTATGACAGGGCCTGGTGAGCTAAATGAATTCAGGATTCTTAGAGTAAAAGAGTTACATAACAGAGTTCTTGAAAAACTAAGAAATCTCACTGGTCAGTATTCTAACACTGGTCAGTATTCTAAATCATACCGTACACTCTTTGAAAAATTCTGACAGAAGTACAGCAAAGAACTCTGAGTCTTCAAACTGAAAAAAATACACTTGCAAACAAATGCATATTTGCAAACCACAGACAAATCAGTTTATTAATGGTTTTTACCAAGATTCAAAAAGATGGCTTGTGAAGTCCCAAAGAACAAAACAGTCCTGAAAGCCAACATGAGTGTTTAGAGAACAAGAACTTCATTTCTTGTTTGATAAGATTAAGAGACAAGAGTCCATGTAAATAAGGGACAAGTAAATAATAACAATTTTGTGGGTCAGGGTGTCTCTGGATGATGCTCCTAGGCAATTAACCATAGCTAGGTAGCACCTAGGCTTACCTGTTACACAGCTGTTCAACAGTTCTAGACATTATCTGTGTAGCTAAATGTTCACATGTCTCTTGAAACACTCTGGGATATGACCCTAGGATCATATCGAGATGGCTCATAAAGGCTATAGCAAATCATTCCATGATAAAAATAATATAGAAAAGCCACGTGGGAAATAACAACAGCTTAAGTTTGCAGCAGTATCTTCCAAAATGTGATTTGTGAAATACTGACTGAAGGTATTTTTTTTTAAACAGACATCTATGATGTAGCATACTTGGAAAATATTGTGCACTTTATTTCCTTTCTGGAGATACTCAATACGAATTGGTTCATTAAGGATCCTGAGAAGTCTCAAAACAACAAATTCATCCTGTGTTTTTGTTTTAACCTTGGAACACTATAGTTTCCTAAACAAAATAAACACCTTGAAGGATCCTAGTCTTATGGCAATAGATTGGAAACTGACAATCTTCAGTAGACTATACACATGACTGCTTTTCCAGTGGCGGTTAATGCAGTCACAGACTACCAAGAAAAGGTGTCATGATTCTCTCTACATTCGGGTGCATCAGAGCTTTGTTCTGTGGCAACATCCAGTTCTGGGAGCCACGTTTTGTCAGGGACATTAGGAATCTGTAAAAGTGTTTATAAATTGAGACTCTTAAAGAGTCAGAAAGCCACAAAAGGTACCACTGAAAGCTGTTAACTGTTCACACAGCCCCCCTCTTCCCACTTATTTCCCTAAAAAAGGTAGAAGAGATGTGAAAGGGTCAGGGAGCTGGATGTAAACCAAATTTGCAACATCAGATAAAAGTCAGTGAAGCTGGAATGTGCTTCTGCATTTTGACTCAAATTGCATTGTTTACAGCTATTCAAGTAATTCAACCTTCATCTCAGGAGCTAGTGCTTCAATAAAGCTGCAGAAGAAAAACAAACACAAAGAAAACACCCCAAAACCCCACAAAAATCTGTAGACAAAAATTAGATTTCTAGGGGCTGGAGAGATGGCTCAGCGGTTAAGAGCACTGGCTGCTCTTACAGAGGACACAGGTTTGATTCCCAGTGCCCACATGGCAGCTAACAACCATCTATAACTCAAGTTCCAGAGTATCCAATGCCCTCTTCTGACCTCCATGGGCATTGCATGACATGAGTGCATTTACACACATGCAGGCAATACACTCATACACATAAAATAAAAATAATAACTAAAATATTTTAAATTAGATCCTTCTATTCTGTTAAACTAAGTAGTCTTTAAATGCCCCTTCCAAAATTTAATATCAATGACTAATGTTCGTATAAGTTATTTAGTGAGGGAGAGCTCAGTTCCAGCCTTTGACGGTATCTATGACTTTGATAGAGTCTCCCTTTAAACAAAACCTTCTTCTTGCCATTGCTTTCTCATTTTCAGTATTTGTGATCACAAATTAAGTTATTTTATTTGAAAGGGAATATAAATCAAATCTGATAAATATCAATGAAAAATTATGAGTGTAAAGACAAATTTTCCTTGGGAGGACTAAGGCGTGTCCTCTTTTCTAGTGTTGGATTGAATATAATGTGTTCTGCTGGACAAGGTGACATTTACAGGTAAGGGAAATTTCATAGTCCTGAAATTCTTCATGAAATGGCATTTTTCAGACCATGAAGGAGAATTTAGAGTAGAAAGTAATTCTGTGTGTTAAAGTTCATAACTTCATGCTTGACATGGAATTTGATTTATAGGCCCAAGATAAATGAAGTAAGAATATCATTTCAAAATAAGAAATACAATGAATATAAATTAAATTAGTGTGATTTAAATATAAAGAGTTCTAGGCCAGGCTGTTCTACATAGTGAGTTCTAGGCCAGGCAGGGTTACATGGTGAGACGGTAATTCAAATAAAAGAAAGAATTATATTGTCCTGTGTTCTAAAAAAAAAATTCCTAAATAGTTTCAAAGAGCTATTGGGATTTTTACTGAGTCAATGCATTTTATTCATTTTTATTCTTAAAAAGTATTGTATTTATTTATTTTATTTTATGAGTATGAGTGTTTTGCCTACATGTGGGTAAGTACACCTGTGTCATGCAGTGCCCATGGAGGTCAGAAGAGGATGTTGGATTACCCTGGAACTCGAGATTTGAATGGTTGTTAGCTGCCATGTGCGTGCTGGGAATCGAACCTGTGTCCTCTGTAAGAGCAGTCAGTGCTCTTAACTGCCAAGGCATCTCTCTAGCCCCTAGCTAATACATTTTAAATTTATTCTTCATTTTTATGAAACCAGTACTCATTTGACAGGTGTGTCTAAATTACACAAAATAATGCACGGAATTTATAGAATGAAACAAAGTCAAGCAAAATCACAATCCAAAGAGAAAAAGGAAGTTCAGGACTATCTAGTCTATCTAAGGAGTGGGAGGCTAGAGTGAAACAAATCTCTTGGTTTGCAGCCCAGGTATGATTCCCCAATAGGGCATGATTGAAAACATGAAGATGGGACTGCTACACTCTGAGAGGAAACACAGTTGGATGAAGATGAAGGCTGGGGTGTGTCATCCTTTTGGCAGGGTAGTATGCCAAGTGCTTCCTGACCTTAGAAATTCATGCTGCCTTAGAAAAGACTAGGGGGCTGGGCTGGAGAGCTGGTGCAGCTGTTAAAGGCGCAGGCTTACAACCAAAAGACGAGGGAGGTGATGGCTGGGCATGTAACCTCAACCTTCTGAAATACCTAAAAGGTAAATACCTAAAAGGGGAGAAAATGTTAATCATGAAGCAGTGACAACCCTGTGATTTGTTTTAGGGAAAGGACTCAATGAGCTCTTGGCATCCATTTCTGTTTTAAATGTTTTATGTGGTTTTGGTTTCAATAATGGCAATGCAGAATGCTTTCTTTCTGTAATGTGAAGGGTATAAAGCAATGGAACTTGTATGAGGACAGACCAGGGCTCTCATCCTCCTAGGCAGAGACTAAAAGCACATCTGCTCTACTTGCTGCAGAGCTCACAGGATGGAGGCTTTGCACCACTGTGGTATGTGACAGGGAGAATAAATTGTGCACTTACCTTGTTCTTGGTGTAAAGATAAGGTACCACCTTTTGAAACACCTTTGGCACTTGCTCCATAGTGTCATTGTTAACAACATGCAACAAACAGATTGGAAGTGCAGTGTACACTTTGGGGAGCAAAATCATGTCTTGAGGAACCAAAAACGTTTCTCTGTAATTATAAAAGTACAAACACATTTTAATATGACTCTTAAAGCTTGTAACTGTATTTAACGCCAAAGAATCTTTTAAAAGCTTAACATTCCAAATAACTAAGGGGTCCACAGATAGTTTTCATTTAAAAATCAGTTTTAATGTGGAAGGCTGGGCGTGGTGGCATACTCCTTTAAATCCCAACACTCCAGAGGCAGAGGCAGGCAGCTCTCTGTGCATTTGAGGCCAGCCTGGTCTATATAATGAGTTCCAGGCCAGCTGGGGCTTCAGGGAAACCCTGTCTCAAAAAGACAAAAAAAATCAGCATTAATGTGGCATTTTGATGTATAAAAGCTAACTCCATTAAGAAACTCCATTTAATAAGTCTCCTTTGATTTTTGTTTAATACGTTATTGCTTGCAAATTAAAGCTTATATTTTTTGCTGGAATCATTGACTTTTTGTGTTATTTTAACATGTTCATTAAAAGTCTAAAAGGTTATTTACATTATCTATATTTTGGTGTAAGGCATATTTATAAAATTTCTGCAGCATCTCATTCACACATAGCAAATGTGGGAGAATTTAAAGTAAGATATAAAAGAAATCTAGAGACAGATACTTTTACCACTAGCCCTACTTTTACTCATAAAACTCTTTAGAGATGAATACTGAATGACATGTAAAGACGGCATCATTCATCACTTGCCTGAACACTATAAACCAAGAGTTGGGTGGCTGATCTGGATAGTTCACAATGTAGTCAGCAAAGGCAACTTTAGTTTCTTCATCTTGATAGCATGGGTAAGATTCCAAGGATTTACACTTGCTTTTAAACATTAGTCTAGAAAAGTACAGATAATTTGAGTATCAAGGACAAAAGCATTTTCAAAATACATTCTATTTATGGAAGAAAAGTAGGTCCTGAAATAGCAAACCCTTGGAAGCCAAAGTTTACTAGATTGTGTTTTTCAAAAGAATACTATGTGACCTATGGTATCTGGTGCCAAGATTGACATCCACATCCCAAGTCAACCCTGAAAGACATTTCTCAGTGGTGCTTGAAGTTATCTGTATGTTATTCATTGAAAGAGAATATAATTCATGAGCAAGGGAGTAATTATAGTTCACAGATGAGAAATAAGAACCAAAACTCAAACTCTAAAACCAAGAAAACCAGGCAAGGTTAATCAGCAGCACGGCACTGGGATGGGGAGCTAAATGGAGCTACAGATGTGAAAATGAGCAATGGATTTGGAAAAGTCAATTATGAAAAACTAAAGGCACAAACAAGAGTAGATTCTAAGGATTTTAATCTGCATGACTTCTGGTTCCTATAACTGACTAAAAGCATCATGCGAGCTGTTTGTTACCTGCAAGCCTGTGGCCTCTTCTATAACACCATGAGAGTGAGCATAGGATGGATGCCCCTCCCTGACTGAATCTAGAGCTACACTTAAAAGCATTGGAATCCTGGATATTTTTCACAGTGTCTCAAGCTAGCTGAGATAGAGGCCATTATGGACATAGAAAACAGTTCTTTAGCAGACATCTTGAAAAGTTCTTTAGCTAGAAGAGGTCTGGAAGAAGTCTAGAAGTATTCTTTACCTTAAGAGAGAAAGTGCATATTGTTCCATATTCAGTTCTAATACAGCCCAAACTTTTTGAAGTATATCTGCAACACTGGCATTTTCCTTTGTGTCTAAAAATAATAATAAAGATGACAATATTAAGTTTGCAGGATGGCCAGACAATGATCTTGTTTAGTCTTCATTTTGCAGATGAAGAATTTTAAATACATAAGTAAGCTGACTCTAGGTCCCTAAATCTTGTAAGCAGAAAAAGCATGTTCAAAACATAGAGCTGGCTGGACTTGGTGGCACATGCCTTTAATCCCAGTACTCAGAGGTGGAGGCCAGCCTGGTCTACATAGTGAGTTCCAGGCCAGCTGGGGCTACAGGAAGACCTCATCTCAAAAACAAAAACAAAAACAAAAACAAAACAAAACAAAACCAGAAAAGGAAAACAAAAAAACTCACATAAAGGAATAAACCTCTAGTTTAGACATCTGTTCACCTTATCCTCTGTCTTTTATCATATTTAGCCTAAAAATCATAAAATGTTCTTTAGTGTAGCTTAAGAGACTTATGAAACCATTTACATAAGTTTTACACACCAAAACCTCCTGTGAGAAACCTTAACTCAGAAGAGGCAACCACCTAATTTTTCTGAAGAACAGCAACTAAAAGGGTGCCACAACACCTCAGTCTACTGCACCGTACACAAATGACTGAAAGGCAGATGAACGGTCTAGGAAACTCCACTCATGGTAAGTGTCAAAGTGAACATGCAGAAACTGACACTCTTTGTAACTGTCCCAAGTTTCTTCATGGTTCTTTCCGGGATCTGAAATGTGTATTTTAAGATGTTCACTTGTCGGCTGTGAGTTTAATGCAACAGAGCATAAGACTCACCAGATCAGAAATCTTGTCTGCCTTACTAACCTCTGAGCCCAGAATGTACATTGGTGTGCCACACTGAAATACTCAATGAATGTGTGCAGAGTGAAAGAAAGAACTCTACTATGAAATTTCTTGAGTTTCTCAGTTTCTCAAAAGGCAAATAATATATATACAACAAACCCATAGCCAACATCATTCAAAAATGAGAAAAACTGGAAGCATCCCCCCATTACAATCAGGAACCAGACAGGGCTGTCCACTATCAACTCTTTTTCAATATAATGCTCAAAACTCTTGCTAGAGCAATAAGACAAGAGAAAGAATGAAATTAAAGGAGTACTAATTGGAAAAGTAGAGGTCAAATTAACTCTATTTTCAGACGTTATGATATTATACATAAGAGATCCCAAAAATTCCACCAGAAAAGTGTTATAAATGATTAATAGTTTCAGTAAAGTAGCAGGTTATAAAATCAATGTACAAATATCAGTAGCCTTTCTACCAATAATGAGCAATCAGAAAAAGCATTCAAGGAAATCCTCCAATTAGCAATAACCTCAGACAAATAAAATATTTAGGAATAAGCTTAACCAAAGACATTAAAGATCTCTAGAATGAAATTTTCAAATCTTTAAAGAGAGAGATAGAGGAAGACATTAGGAGACAGAAAGACCTACCATGCTCATAGATTGATTGGATCAATATCGTGCAAATGACCATCTTACGAAAAGCAATATATAGATCCAATGCAAAGCCAATAAAAAGACCCACAACATATTTCACAGAGTTAGAAAAAAATCATCCTAAAATTCATATGGAATCAGAAAAGACCCCAGACAGCCAATGCAATCTTGGGCAAAAAGAACAATGTTGTGGGGGGGCAGTGCTGGATAGCTTTAGTGTCAACTTGACACACCTGGGTTGAGGGAGCCTCAATTGGGGAATTTCCTCTATTGGACTGGCCTGTGGCCATGTCTGAGGGACATCTTCTTGATGAGTGATGTGGGAGGGCCGAACCCACTGTGGGTGATGCCACCCCTGGGCAGGTGGGTCTGTGTTACATAAGAAAGCAGGCTGAGCAGGGACCAGGGGGAGCAAGCCAGTAAGCAGCATTCCTCCATGGCCTGTGCTCCAGCTCCTGCTTCCAGGTTCCTGTCCTGAGTTCCTACCTTGGGCTCCCTGATGAACTGCGACCTGGGAGATGTAAGACAAATAAACCCTTTCCTCCCAAGTTGGTATTGGTCAGAGTATTTTGTCACGGCAATGAAGAACAAACTAGAACAGGGGGATCACCATACCAGATCTCAGATTATATTACAGAGCTATAGTCATAAAAGTAGCATGGTACTGGCACAAAAATAGACATGTAGGTCAATGGAACACAATGGAAGACCCAGACACGAATACATGCAATTTCAGCCACCTGATATTTGACAAAGGGGCCAAGAACATTCACTAGAGGAAAGGCTGCATCTTCACAAATGATGCTGGCAAAACTGGATCTCCACCTGAAGAAGAATGAAATTGGACCCTTGTCTTTCACCCTGCACAAAATTCAACTCCAAATGGATCAAAGACCTCAATATAAAATTTGAAACTCTGAACCATCTAGAAGAAAACATAGGCAGTACCCTACAAAATACAGACATTAGAAAAAAACTTTCTAAATCAGACATCAGTGGCTTAGGCATTAAGGTCAACAATCAATAAGTGGGACCTCATTAAGCTTCAAAGCTTCTGTACAGCAAAAGAAATAACCAAGGAAGGGAAGAGGAAACCCGCTGACTGGGAGAAAAATCTTTACCAGGTACACATCTGACAGAGGATTAATATCCAGGGTATACAAAGATCTCAAAGACATGAGAAAATAAACAACCCAATAAAAAGATGGGCTATATGCCTGAACAGAGAGTTCTCAAACAGAGAAATAAAAATGGCTAAGAAATACCTTAAAAAGTGTTCAATATCCTTAGTAATCAGAGAAATGCAGATAAAAACTACTTTAAGATTTCATCTTACCCCAGTCATACTGGCTAAGATCAAAAGAATGAAAAACACCAAATGCTGTAGAGGATGTGAAGAAAGTGGAACACTCATTCGTTGCTGGTGGGAACGAAAACTCATGCAACCACTATGGAAAGCAGTGTGGAGAACCCTTAAAAAAACTAAAAATGAATCTACCATATTATCCAGTTATACCTACCCCTTGGCATTTACCCAAAGGACTCATCCTACTGGAGAGATACCTGTACATCCATATTTGTTGCTGCTCTCTTACACAATGGAGTTCTACTCAGAAGCAGGAAAAGATGACATTACAAAAATTTGCAGGTAAATGGATGAAACCAGAGAGTGTTATACTAAGTAACACAAACGCAGAAAAGCAAGTGATGTATGCTCTCCCTCATTTGAGGACTGTAGCATCAATCCCTTATATGTGAGTATAGATCCTGATGTAACCCCAGGAGCCAGAAAAATGGAAAGGATACATAGAGGTAAAGGAAAATAAAGAATCCAAAAAAGGGGATAGTAGGAAACACATGTTACCAGGAGAGTGGAAGTGTTCGCCTGGGAGGGGAGAAGGGAGGGACATGTAGGGGATCCGTGGTGTGGTGGGGAGGGAACACAGGAGAGGGGTGGTGGTGAGAGATGGGTGTTATTGGGGGGAGGGCAGGGGGAATGGGACTGGGGAGGGAGAAGGGAGGTCAGATGGGAGGAAAAAGAGTAGAGGATGAATGAATCCTGGGGGTTTGCAAACCCAGAGGGAAATATGATGCCCCTCAGCCCCTGAGAAATGCACATACAATGTCTAAACATCAGTGCATATGTATACCTGGGGACTGTCTGGCAAGGAACACAGTGTCAGAAGAGACCTCCTTTTGAGTGGTTAGTGAGAGTGGCCCAAGAGACTCCCCAAATAACACAGGTTATTGCCAAAGCTCTTGGTTATCTCCCAGAACTAAAAGATAAGATCCTACTGCTGAAGACAGGACATACTTAGGATACAGGACTTGTAGCAATGGAGCAGGAACTGACCTGGAAACCATCTACCTGAAATTTAACTCTCATAATGCTAGATGATAATATGCAAACTGCTATGGTAGAAAATCAATCAATGGTCCAACCCAGCGCTAAATCCTAATAGCTATAACATCTGGCACAGAAACTACCTCTATTGGTGCAGTAGTGGCACTGTTATCTGGGGTGGGGGGGGTAATCAACAGCCATGTACTTAGACTTAAAGCCCTCCCAATGGGAGTGAACTCATGGGTAGTACTGTCAAGTCAGTGAAATACACATGGCTGAAGAAGATATAGATTGTAGAGAAAATCCTATTTCTGTCATATCTCTAGACAAATGAAATTTCTTGTCATATGCTAAATATGGATCCTTATATTTACAGACAAGCATACTGTACACCACTGATAAAAGAAGCTTCTTTTTGCAACAGATGGAGGCTACTTCAGAATTCCACAACTGGTCAGACACAGAGAATATACATCTGAGAGATGCCAAGTACTAGGTGACACATCTACAGTTGAACCCCTACACCTAAGGGTTATAGACCATAGCGAAATGAGGTGTAGAGAAAAAATTAATGCATCTTTCAGCTCTCACCAGTGAAGTTTCCTATACACACAGAAGACCAAAACTGACCAGTTTTAAAGAATAAGAGACTACAGTGTGTCCCTACATATATTAAACCTCACCCATCCATGGGTCAGGAATCATTGCGGAAGAGGGGGTAGAAAGTTTGTAAGTGCCAGGGCTTGTTCATAAACACAGGGAAGCAGAGGGTTTCAGGCCACTGGAAGCTTACACATGTGAACTTGTGGCAATGGTGGCACTGGGCACAGGACCAATGCCACCTCAATCAGACAATGGCCCAGAGTGGAGTAAGATCAATGGGTGATTGCTACTGGGTGAGGGAGAGTATGCCTTACTTAGAATCTCTAGATGAGCTGACTGGACTTCAGTGGATGAATTTGCACTAAAGGACATCTGGGTATAAATGCTTGACTAGATAAGACTTAACATGTATGGTGGAATACATGAGTGGGTTGGGGGGGAGGTGTTGGGGGAGAAAGTCTAAATTTGATTAAGAACTGTTGTATGAAATGTACAAAAGAAAGGTAAATAATGTCATTGCTTGAATATCATTTTTACAACATATAGGGAGAACAACATTTTACTATATATTGAATTTAATAAATGTATATATTTTTCCAATGCAGAAAAACATAAAAATCAAATAATTATAATTTCTTTCTCCTCCTTTCTCCCTATTTTCTCTTATTTTCTCTCTTATTTCCTTCCTTTCTTCCCTCCCTCCCTCCGTCCCTCCCTCCTTCCTTCCTTCTTGTTTTGGTAGGCCAGGTTAGCTTCAAGTTGGCAGGAGCAATCCCCCACTTTTGTTCTCTGAGTGCTGGGATTACAGGTGTGTATTATGACTGAGTATATATTATAAACACACAAATAGTAATTAAATTTCATTAAATTAAATATAGTCAAATAATTTTGGTCTAAGTGAGGGAGCTTATGAATGGCACATTCATATCTGTAATATTTTCCTGTCACAAACCACTTATTGCACTTTAAAAAAAATCTTTGGTTCTGGCATGGTGGCACACGCCTTTAATCCCAGCACTGGGGAGGCAGAGGTAGGTGGATCTCTGTGAGATCCAAGCCAGCCTGCTCTACATAGTGAGTTCTATGCCAGCTGGGGCTTCAGGGAGAGACTGTCTCAAAAAGACAAACAAAATAAAACAAAACAAAACAACTGTTGGGAATCTAAAGTTTTTACTCCTTAGTATACCAAAAAATTTTGTCGGAAGTCAATCCTACCTAAAAGTCAAAAACAATCATGTGAAAATGACTGAACATAATTTCTACATCTTCTGACTTTAAGTTAATGAAAATGACCACTTTCACAATAAATTCATTTAATATACCTAGAAACATTTCATTACACAAATATAAAAAGACAAAGAGACATCTGAGATCCATGCTCTGCCTTTGAACTTCACCTTCATGCTCAAAAACACTTGTATCATTCATTTATGCCTGTGAAATTAGGCTAGAAATGTCCACGTCTTTCTTAGCTAAAGCTGATACGGCAAATTGCCAGGCACTGGGGATGTTTGAAAAGAACACATGACAGATTAGGAAAATACAGCTGATCGTCCTTTCATGTACTCATTTATTCATGCAACACACATCACTTCTGGTGTATGTATGTGTATGTGGTATGCATGCATGTGTGCATATCTGCTTATATGTGTATGGGCACAGACGTGTGGTGCACATACAAATGGATATACGTGCATGTAGAGACCAGAATTTGATGGTGGGTGTTTCCTTTGATCACTCTCCAGTCATTTACTAAGGCAGTGTCCCTTGCTGAACTTGGGGCTCCCTGGTCTGGCTGGTCTGGCTAGAGAGCTTGCTATAGAGATCCCCCAAATCTGCCTCCCAACTACTGGGGCTATAGTGGACCATCACACCAGCTTTTATATGAGTTCCAGGGATCTTTTGGACTCCAGTCCTGATGCTTTAGCCACTGAGTCATTTCCTTAGCCCCCTTTAGTAAATATTTATTATATGTGCTGTGTCTTGGACACTGAGCTAAATTCAGGGAAGAATGAACATTGACATGCTTCTTACCCTCAGGGAACTTCGGTATTGATAGAATACAAATTAGTTAAGCTGAAAAACAAGGTGACTCCAAAATACTTAAAAAATGCATAAACAAATGTTCATTCCTGGCCACACGAGTTCTTTTCAAATGTGTTTGCAAAGTGTACCTGGCATTCTGGCTTTCATGATTAGTCTGACATAGGTCCCTCTCCACATGGATTGAATTTTCACTGCCGCTGCTATTTCCTTAGAAGAAAACTCTTTCTCATTTATTGGCATAGGATATTTAAGATCTACCCATTCTGCTGGAAAGAGAAAGACAAATTCTGGGTTGAGATTTATGTTTAATCCTTTCCCCAAATTTGTAATGTCTGAGGCTATGAAATCCTCCCAACCAATACAGTTCCACAGTGATGGACTGATCACCCACTTCATATTGCCCACTGCCCTTGTCTGAATGTAAAGCTCTGAGGAAGGAAAACACATGAAGTTGTGATACTTCAACGGCCTGCCACTGATTTCCATGGGAAAAGGCCATAGCCTTTCCTCATAGGTGAAAGAGAAACAAAGCGTCATGGGAATAGAAACAAAATGTGGGAAGAGTAGGGAAATAAAGAAATAAGGGGTCGCCTAGAGTTCCTTAAATCATACTGTGTAGATAAATGACAAATAAAATAAGGAACTTCGGGTTTCCCTGAAAGTACGTGTGGTAGGGATTAGCAGGGCTCTTTGCAGCCACTGGCATCCCCTGAGCTCCCCTTCAGCTCCTACTGTTCTGAAGACCTGTTCTCCCTGCAACACAACAACTTAGCACCCCTTCTCAAGTTAATCGTCACTTCCATGCTCAAGTACTTAAAAAGAAGCAGTACCTAAAGAGACATCCTCTACGGAGGAATCAAGGAAGTCCATGTCCAAAATCAGAGCCCGAAAAGCAAATTTGAGATTTGAAGGAGACTTGCTTATTTGAGTTTTTTTAATTAAATGCCATAAAGAAATGTGAAAAACCTGAAAAGAGAGAAAGTTTTTAAATTTTTTTAAAAAACTTTTGAGACAAAGTCTTGCTATGTAGCCCAAACTAGCCCAAAACTAGCATGCCTCCTGCTTTATTGTCTCAAGGACTAGGATTATAAGTGTCCCACCATGCCCAAATTTATTGAATTCATCAACTTATTTGCTAACTGATTGATTGGTTTTGATAGAGCCCATGTAGCTCAGACTGGCCTTGAATTTGCTATGTAGCTGAGGATGACTTTAAGTTTCTGATCCTCTTGCCATCACTCCTCGGTGGTGGGATTATAGGCATGCATCATCACACCCTGTTTATGTGGTGCTGGGGGTCGAACCCAGGCCTTCATGCATGCCAGGCATTCTAAAAACTTAACTACATTCCAGACCCCAATTTTATTTTTCAGTTAAAATAAAATACCATAACTTGATCAGATAGTCTGTAAGAAACTTTAAGTACCCTTAAAATGAAAATAGAAAAAAAAATGGTCATACATATATATGACCATTTTATTCTATTTTAATTATATATATGTACACACACACAATCTAAAAGCAGACTGAAGTCTCACTCACCTAATAGACCACAATTATTATTTGACTATTTTTAATTTAATAAAATTTAATTACTATTTTGATGTTTATAATATATACTCGATCAAAATACAGCATTAAACTTGTTGAGGAGAGAAACCATAAGATAAAATTATGATCCTTGCAATTGAACAACTTAAATGTCATATTTCATTGACTGGAATATTCTATCCATTGAAAAACATAAGCTTATCTAATATGCTACAAAAGATACGTTGTTGCTTAGGCTTTTAATCATTTTCTTATCTTGCAGGAATACATACTACATACAAAGAAAACCCCTGTAGATTTATTTATTTAGGTTCATCATCATATGCCACATAGTGGTGTGATCATCAAAATATAAAATGAAAATATTTGTTAACATTTTGTTAAATGTTTTGCTATAGGGGTTATAGCAAATAATACCTTTTGTGTTTTAAATCTGGGCTAGCTACAAAAGTCCACGTGTTGGGTGATGCTGATGCCCCTAGCTCATTCTTCTAATCTGTCCACAGCTACAGGTGACTGATTTTTGCTATGGTACCATGCCCTGAAGAGTCCAGCAAGTCATTTGGTGGTTGGATAATTTCAATGGACTTCCAACAAGGTGGTTAGAGATTCATTTACAAGAACTGACATCTGTCTGACATACAGTTTTGCTTTTTCCATCCTCAACGTCTCTTCCAGCATCATTATCAAGGAATTGTAGAAAATGTGACTTACTTGCATGCAAACCATTCTAACATACCTTTTCATTAGCAAAGGCTCCATTGGTTTTAATGTACATCATTGATAGAACTGATGAAGGACTGGTAGATTGGAATGGCACATCAAAGGCTCACTCCTAAGTCAGCCTAGAGATAGCTTCCTGTAGTACATGTCTATTGAACCAAATACTGGTATGTGCTCTTTTCTGCATAGCTAACACAGGTAGGTCTAAGACACCAAAGTTGTAAGTAGCTCTAGCCTCCTCTGTATCATTTGTGAGGACTTGTTCACAGAATGTGTACTGTCTTTCCCCACAAGAAAGGAATTACTGGATTGTAGAACTTAGCTCCTGGACAGAAGGCAGACTTTGCTAAGATTTAAGACAAGTCCAAACTATATGTCTTATTGCTTTGGGTTCCTCTTCCTGGCAGAGAAGTAGGAAAAGCCAAGTCAAACAAAATAAAACAAAACAAAATGGGGCCAGAGGGTTGTTTCCATGTTTAAAAGCACTTGCTGTCCCAGCATATTACCTAAATTCATTCACTGAAACCACATAGTAGTCCTCTGACTTCCACATGACACATGAACTGCCCCCCCACACACAATAGATAAATAAATAAAATACTTTAAGGAAAAAATAAAAACAAAAACAAAATTCATTTAACGGGGTAGAAGAGTGTATATTGAATTCTATATTGAATTGTATATTGAATTCTACATCATACTGGGCAGAAAAGTGTGCTCTGTCTCCTTCCAGCTTCACCATCCTGGAATGTCCTTCTTAAAGACCATTTCTTGGAAATGTTATCATCAAAGATGGAACGTGATCTCCCAATTTCTTTGGGAGCACTTTACTCCAAATTTCAAAGCTACCTCTTCTCATAAAGCCAATTAAACAAAATCAATTAACAACAGTAAGGGAATTTAGGGTAAACTACTGTGATGAGAGACGCTGCGGTGTTCTCTTTCTTGAGGGCTAGTCTTTTCTATTGAGTGTGTTATGGGTTGAATCCGCTTGAATGTATGAAAAGGTGGACTTTTGATTACAGCAGTTTCAGCTGACTCCCTGTGATAGGCACGGCATTCTGCTTCAATGCTTGTTCAGTAATAAAGCTGCTTCCTTTCTTCTCTCTTTGCAAAGTACTCTTCTAGGTTGGAGGAGTTCCAGTTCAAAATACTTCCCCCAAAACATCCAGCATCAACTTAAATTTGAATAAGAAATAAAATGACGATTTAGTTCAAAGAAACTTTTACTCAGTGTTCATATTAAACATCGTAGACTCTTAATTTACATGACATTATAATTTAATTGGGTGTCCTGTATTTTTATTTGCTAATCCTGACTATAGGTTTCTTTCCTGAAGGGGCATGTACTATGTTCTGAAATCATTTTCTGTTGTCACATCTCCATCTAGATTGGAGAATGTGACATCCCACAGTGGACAAGAAAACTCTATTACACAAATAATCTGGTTCAAATGTCAATAGCATAAAGATTAAAAAAAAAAACAGATGTCATATGTCACCTAATTGCCATAATACATCTAGGGTGGACAGGTGTATACAGACTGCCTCCTTCCTCAAGGAGAGCCAGCCAGTAAGTCCCTTGACCTCTCTTCCTCAATCTGTCTAGAAAGCCAGAATGCTACTCAGCCCTGGCAGAGGCTTATGTTGTAAGAGAGCTTTAAGGCTTCTGAAGGCAACTTCAACCAATGGAATACTTGCTAGTGGATGAGTGCCACAGTCTTCCCATCCTTCAGTGAGTCATCCTTCCCAATTCATCAGGAGCCTCTGGAAGACTGGGCCCAGTAACTCATGGCAACAATTCTCACATACTTTAATTTCTTCCTCCTTCTCATTCCATTCTTCTCCCTTCCTTCTGAAATCACTTCCCAAATAAATAGTCTCCATTCAAAACAATTTTCCAGGCTCAACATTTGGAGGTCACCTAACATAAGACACAATTAGATAGGAGTTTTCCTGTTGTGAACATTATAACCAGAATGTACTTACTCTGAAGTGCTGAAGAGTGAGTTCCTTGTTGTGGAGGGGGATAGGATAGTGAGCTGCTTGTAGATCCCTCATAGCTGCAGACAATTTAGCTTTGTCTTTGAAACTAGCAATCACATTTCCAACAGCTTTCAGAATTATTAGAGCCTGCTCTGTAAATCGGTAACTCTCCTGTGAAGACAGAGCATACATATATAGCATACATATAGCAATGAACCTCATGTGTTTTAAGGGTGATTAAGTTAACAAGAGTCCAACATTTAGGGAAGTAAAACCTCTGCTGTATGATTGATTAAATGGCTGTTTGTAAAGAACTGACAAGATCAAGGCATTTTATTGGATGCTCTGTTCTGAGACATGGTACAAGGGCTGGAAGTCCTTTAAGAGGAAATGCATCCAAGGAGCTCCTGGAGGTCAGGGAAAATTCCCCCACAGTGTTAACGTCCAAACTTAGTTCTGAAAGATGTCTAGGAAATAGTCTGACAAAGGTTGAGATTTTGAGGACGGGGGCAGAGAAATTTGCAGGAGAGGGCCATGCAAGATCAAAAAGACCAGCGAGTAGGCTAGCCTGGGTTGCTGGCTCCTTCCTGCTATCCATTCTGATAAACACTAAGAGGGTAAGGCAGACAGAGATTTGAAGAAGCAACTCAATTTTGAGAAATCTGAGAAAAGTCTGAGATATTTGATGGCTGTCTTGGTTGGTGTGTGTTAGGGAGTAGTAGTGTTGACTGGAGCACCAGGTGCTTGCTTGGAGGAAAATCAAGCTGTCTTTACTATTTCCCAGGGGATGCCATAGTACAATTGTTCTTTAGATACCCACAGAAGAGCTGAGAGTTGGTCCAGCAAGTGTACCTAGATAGCACAGATGCCCTTCTGGATTGGTAAACTGATGGAAAATATCCAGATGCATTGCTACTCTAATGCTTGAACATCTCCAGTACCTCTCCAAACCCCAGCATCCAAGGAGAGCTTCATCTCAGAGGTGTTATTTGAGGAAAACTCTGCCAAGAGAAGTTGCCTTATTATACGGCAGCACTGCGAACCTCTGCTTATGGGTTAGCCTATCTCCTTCTACATCTTCATTAGAATCAAAGAAAAGTGGAGATTAAATTTGGTTCCCAATGACCCTTATAGGATAGAGGCATACTATCTCCAGGGAAATATGAAGTCACTCTCCAAAATAAATGATCACCTGGGAGTTAATTCCCCTGCAAGAAGACAAGAAGCTGGGTAATGCACAGCACATAAGCAGAATTGTTTTGTTTTTGTTTGGGGGGATTATTATTATTTTTTGGTCTTTTTGAGACAGGGTCTCCCAGTAGCCCCAGCTGTCCTGGAGAGCCTCCTGCCTCCGCCTCCTGAATGCTGGGATTAAAGGCGTGTGCCACCATGCCCGGCAGAATTTTTTTTTTTTTTCAAGAAAAAATTAAAATAAGCAGGATAAAGCTGGGCATGGCAGTGCTTTCTTGTAATCCTAGCTACTCAGGAAGCAGGGGTAGGAGGATCCTGGCTTAGTTCCTGGCTTAGCCAGGGCTACACTGTGAGATTTTTGTCTTTAAAAAATGCAGGATAGGAGCTGGAGAGATGGCTCAGAGGTTAAGAACACTGGTTGTTCTTGCAGAAGACCCAGGTTCGAATCCCAACACCCACATGGCAGCTAACAACTCTCCATAACTCCAGTCCCAGGGGATCCGACAGCATCTTCTGACCTCCGCGGGCATTGCATGACAAGGGTGCACTTACCTACATGCAGGCAATACACGCATACACATAAAATAAATAAAATTTAAAAAAAATACAGGATAATAATAGTCAATGAAACAAAGGACACCTTCTTTTGAGATGGAATTACTGATGTTCTTTTAGTGCTTACTGTGCAGAATGAAAAGCATAGAAAGAGAGAGAGCATAGCAAAGAGAACAGTCTTAGGGAATCTTGCACAGCCCTATGTAGATAGGCCAGATGGCATGCCTGAGGAATGTCTAGGCCATCTGGGTGGGAAGAGGCTGATCTTAAATCCTTTTGTTTCTACAAGATTTGCTGACTGGCAGAGAGTCCCATGAAATACTTTGTTTCATCTTGACATTTTAGTGACAATTGTAAGAGATGAGGTAGTACCAGAAGCCATACCACAGAAATTCTAGTCCCCCACAATGCACATGGGTAGACAGAGGCCATCATAAACAAAGAGAGGATTCAGAGGAGATGCTGCATCCATTGTCTCTATAAGAGCTAAGGAAGGGGCAAGAGACACTGAGAAGGGACCAAGGAGAGAGAAAGAGAGAGAGAGAGAGAGAGAGAGAGAGAGAGAGAGAGAGTGATACAACCCTGAGCCTTATGTATCTACCTGAGTTAGGTACAGAAATGAAGAAACCCAGCAGCAGAGTAGAGCTGGGTGCAGTTTGGAAGGAGAATTAATTTTGTTTGTATTCCTACGAACTTTATACTCTTAATTACACAGATTACAATTGGGCATTTCTTGAAGAATATACTAAATGTTTAAAAGGTTAAAAAAAACTAAATGAAAAATTACAAATAGGATTTAGTTGATAACCTTTGAAAGCAGAAACATACAGAGACAAAAAGAAAGTGAGAGAGACTGAAAGACAGAAAGACAGAGCAGTTGCTAAGATATTTACCAGCTCAAAATTGGGCAGTACAACATCTTCATCTCCAATGACAAAAGTCACCATACTGCAGACATGTACAGCATGTCCCACGGGGGAATATGCACTGAAGAGCAGCATGTGTCTCCTAAAGAGAAGAGACACTACGTAGAGACTGCATGGGTCCTGTATTGTTAAGTATTTACCTTTGCTACGTGCTTGATTAGAGTCTGGAACTTTTAGTCAAAACTTAATAATGAATTGAATTTTTTTACACAGACGCATAAGGACCTTTAGATTTTCACTCTAGAATAACCCTCAGAAATCATGAAATCTGTATTCTATTGAATGCATAAGACAGAAATAATTAAACTAAATGACAAACTTGCACATGTTGGATGTACCTTCCACATACTGCTCTGCAAAGGAGGATTCTAGATTCCCCCCCACAACAAATCATGCTACAGGCTTTGCAGGTTTCACAATCTTTTTCTAACAAATACATCATGTATATATGTGAATTCCATCTCTCCTATCAGATGACGTTATCACAGAGAACAAGGAGAGTCACTTTCTTCAGTTACTGGGCATTTAGACTCTCAGGACATTCTCAAAACAAACACACTGATAGCTTAGGACCTCTGTGTGGAACTAAGATTCTAAAACGCTCTTTTACTAATTCCCTGTGTTTGGTGTGTCAACAGTAAGACAGTCACACAGAATAACTTGACTTCTGGAGACTTCAAACTAGAGTGTATATATGAGAAATGGTCAAGTTTTAAATTTTATTATTTTCTAGACATGCTAGATGCTTAACATATTATTTCAGCATTTAATTTCATTGCTTGGGATTCATTTTGCACACGATCTGTAACTTTTTACCAGTCACATGGAATTAGAATGATCGATTTTGAGGGGGAGAAGCCAATGAAAAATTTTTTCAGCTGTGATATGAAGTAATAGTCTGAATTTTATATGCTAAATGCAAGAGAATTTTTCCATTGTTTGTAATTTCCTTGAAATGGAAAGTATATATTTATTCGGTTTTATCATAATTTAAAAAATAATGTCTAATAAATACATACCACAGGTAGAATTCTAGGTTGATGGGCAGAAACTTTACGTTTCATCATCTAGACAGAACCCAAAATTTGAATGGAATCAAGCAAAATTCTTGCTAAGGAATACAGTTAACTTTTTGAGAAAACAGGAGATTCTTGATTAAATCAATTTATAAACCTCATGGCTGAGCATGCTTAAGTAATATTTACTAAATACATACCTGAATCACCAACAATGATGTCTCTCCCAAAGGGGCATCCAGTGTGGAACTGAGAATGTCACTCATCGATGGGATTATCTCTCTCAAGAAGAGAGACATACAAAGAGCCGATACTTTTTACTTCATCATTAGTCAACAGTCTAAAAGATTGGAGCATGGGAAAGTGAATTCAAACCTTACCCGACAGGCAGGCACACCATGGCGGCCTTGGTGGAATAGGTGTGGAGCCTCAGAACCAGGCTGAGAGGCTTCAGTGACTTCCAGGTGATTTCTTCCACTCTCAGGAGTCCAGGCTCCACCTGAGGGCCATCCTTTGTTAAGGCTTTAGAAGAAGGGAAGAGGTGTTGAAATGTGACTGGGCAAGGAGAGCTGGCCTTCACTTGCATTATTTTCTATCTGGTAACAACAATCATGATTGTAAAAGTCAACCAGATATTGAAGATATTCTAAAAATGTCCCATGAAATGTTGAAAGTTACTTCAAGTAAGTAGTTATTGAAAACAGTGCCCAGCTGGGAATACTGGTTTGCCTTCTTGTTCACGTCCTCCTCATAAAACTGGGCAAGCGTATATATTTCAGTGTTTGCTGTCATTTTTATTGTGTCTATGGACACAATTATAGCATCTTACCAGATGCAGTTTTAAGGGAAGATAATATATAACATCTAGAACAGTAAGAGATTTTTCTAAGATGATATCAAAGAAAATGAAAATATCCTGTTGATTAGCTAAATGTTTGCCTTTGATACCCAGAGTCTTTGAACTTACACAGAAGTTGTAAGAAATAAACATTTAATTTTGATATCAAGTTTTTTAACATACATAAATAGTATGGCTTATTTTTCATCAAAGATTGAGGGCAGAATACTTTCACCCTATTTCAAAAATACACTCAAGCTGAAAATACAAGGTTACAGTGTATTGATGCAGGCAGAATTTAACTCTTCTACAGTGTGATGGCTTGAGACCTATGGGTTAAGTGGATATATGAAACTAAGGTCACTATATTTCAGAAAATTTACTACACAGATAAATTTTGGTCACCTCTTGTGCATTGTATACTGTTGCAGGCATGGGCGGTCCTTGCCGAAACATAAAAATCCTCATCCAGAACACTCAGTATTAAGTATTCAGGACTTATCTAATGAACACCTACAGCACAGGTATTGTTAACTCTAATTAACGGGCCAGAAAATCAGAGAATAATAGTATGTGTGTCAGAGATCAGCCTCCTACAGGAGCAGGGCCAGTCCATTCATTAGCAGGGAAGGCAGTTTAGAATTTTAGGGAGTTCCTGTGGGAACTCAGCAGCATGGGTTGCAACTGAAAATGACTAAGAATAAGAGCAGAGGTTAGAACCCTGAAGACAGGAAAGACAAAAGCTTGAAGTAGTGGTCCAGGAGAACTCCAGTGGGAGGCATGCACTTGGGAAACGCCTGCCAGGCATTTGTGCTCCTCTGTGTTCAGTGGACAGGCCAGAAGGGACTCCCTTTCCAATCATATTCAGCGGCTTTTTTGCAACCGAAGGCAAAGTTGAGTCTAATAGCTTGGGATACTTATCAGGAAAGGGAGATGAAAGGAATAAGAAATGTGTTTACCAGCAGATGTGTCCAACCTGTGACAACCCCCCCACCCCCGCCCTGGGTTGCATGTAGCTGCGTGTAGCTGAGGATAGTTATGAGTGTGGCTCAATACAAAATCCAAAAGTTACTTGAAGCATTATGAGCTATTTTTTTCCACAGATCTGAAGTGTAGACTTTGTGATGATACGTTGTCTTAGTTTGTTTCTCCATTGCTGTGACAAAATATTCTGACCAATACCAACTTGGTGGAGGAAAGGGTTTATTTTATCTTACATCTCCTGGGTCACAGTTCATCAGGGAGCCCAAGGTAGGAATCCAGGGCAGGAACCTGGAGGCAGGAGCTGGAGCACAGGCCATGGAGGAACTCTGCTTTCTGGCTTGCTCCCCTGCCCCCTGCTCAGCCTGCTTTCTTATGCAACACAGGTCCACCTGCCCAGGAGTGGCACCACCCACAGTGGGCTGGGCCCTCCCACATCATTCATCAAGAAGATGCCCCTCAGACTTGGCCACAGGCCAGTCCAATAGAGGAAATTCCCCAGTTGAGGCTCCCTCAACCCACGTGTGTCAAGTTGACACTGAAGCTATCCAGCATATATGTCATGTCATAATAATGTCAAAAGTTTTGGCATACATGGTAGGGTATGCAATAGGATATCACTGCAGTGACTGGCCATAGAACTTACATTGGGGGGTGGGAAGAAAGAGATCATGAGAAGACTAGTGGACAGGTGAAGAGTAGTAGATGGGTGGGAGTGCCTGGCAGAGACACGTATAACATGTTGGGGAGTTCTAGAAAGAGTGAACTAGAAAGTCAAGGGATGGAGTGGTTCAAATGGAGATGATGGAGATGATGTAAATGGCAAAGATAAAGTTCACAGTGTAATCATGGATGGGTGTGGGGTATTAGTCTATTTTCTGCTGCTACAACAAAGCACCCAACCTGAGTATTTAATTTTTTTTAAGTTTTTTTTTTTTTAATTTAGTTCAGAGTCTCGAGATCCGAGGGCAGCACTGGATCCCTGGTTAGCTTCCTCTGTGCCATGTGATGCCATGTTGGAGAAGTGGACTGGAGATGGTGAAGAAGGGGCCAGGGATGTGTGATGGCTTCCTGCTGTAGTGACCCACTCTCAAACAAAGAATCACTCTGAGACAGACATTAACACTTCTGAGCTCAACACCCCCAAGGACACTTCTAGAAGGCTCCAACTCTTAAAGCTCCCTCTACATTGGAGGACAAGCCTCCAGCACATGATCTTTGAGGGAAAGGGGACCACAGTCACAGCAGAAGCCGAAATGGGATACATGAAAAGAGCATCATTGATCACTGTTAGGTCAGATAACAAAGATTTTGTGTCTTTCAGCAGATTTGAAATCAAAATAAAGAATGATGAATAAAGGTCAGAAGAAAAATAGGACTGAGTATGTCAAAGAGGTGAACAGAGGACAGAGACCAGGAGAGCTTAGATGGCAACAGTCAGCACAGTGTTCAATGCCAGGAGAGTGAGGACAACAGAGCAGGTGGCAGGGCAGTCCTGTATGACTCTTGACAAACTCTGCAAAGGGACAAAGCATTATCACTTATGGTCTGAAAGTCTTATCATATGTTCCCCAGCCCACCTGTGATGTGAGCGTCCAGTCATTCTTAGAACCTTCTTACCTCCAGATTCCCCCCAGCGCACCAATGCAGAGAAGCAAATCAGTAGCTCAACAGGTTTCAGACTGTCCACAAAAAGGTAGTAGCATACCCGTTCTTCTGAGAACTGCAAGAAATCAGACCAGTCATCAAGCGTACCAGTCCAGGTGCGCTGTTATTTTTCTGCTTTCTGTTATAGTATAGGTCAATCTATTAAGAAACTTACTACATTTTGAAGATCATAGTAAGTACATTGTGGGTTTAATAATATGAAGTGGGTAAATGTCAGCACTAATCTGGGGCAGCTGGGTCTAGAGCCGCTGAGAGACTGGCAAATCTCTTCTCCATGAACAAAGAAACAGGAGCTGCCAGTCCCAGAAATGAAGCAGTGAGGAAGAGACCAGGCTGAAGGCTGAGCCGTGCTCAAAGAGTCAGCCACAGATTGGCAAGGAGACCACAGAGTGGCAATGGCAGCAAAGGAAAATAATCTAATGGGAATGCATTTAGGCATTCTGCAGGGTGGTATGTGATTTAAAAAAACAAAAACAAAAACTGTTCCTTCTTTTCACAAGATCTTCAGAAATATGCCTATTGTGTCCAGGGTGTTTTTTTGTGTTTTCTGTTTGTTTTTGTTTTGGATATGCAATACAGTGATGGGTAAGACCAGACATCTTTGAAAGAAAGTCACACAAGGGTTACACACTTAGGATTTCAGTGCATCCTATTGGGCACTATTAGTATTCCTAATTCCTGAGAAAAGAAAAGGTAGGATGAGGGGCTTACCAAATGCACCCTGTTTGTAAGTAGCAAAGCTGAAATTGAAAGGCAGGTGAATCTATCTGCCAGACTCTGAGGTTGTGCTCTTGACTGGTGCCTCATTATTGCTTCTCAGAGTCATAGTACGTCAATGCAATTTTGAATGATGGTGCATGGTAAATATATTCAACAAATCTGTCACTATAGTATAAAAGCATGCAGTTGAATTACTGCTTTACCATAATATTTAAATATTCACTTAATATAGGAATGATAAATTGCTAGTAATGCTGTGAAAAGGGAAACCTTGCTATTCAATGAACTATAAAAAGATTGCTAGATAGGATTGATATGATGGAAGATGGTTTGAATCATTGTCTCCTCCAAAGTTTCCCGTTAATGATTGTCTGACACTTTGTTTCAAAGGTTCCCTTTAAACTACAATATACTAGTGTTATTGACAACAGTTTCAAATACTCACTATTTGAAAATATGAATTTGGCTCTGCCAGCCCAGTGTGTGTATGTGAGGAGGACTTTCTGCATGAGGATAATTTTCAGTCATTTTTAAAGGATTGGCAACTGAGGAATCAGTGGTCCCGAGGCTGTTCAAGAGGGGCTTTCAAGTCTCTACCCCACCTTCACACTGAGAATCGACATAACAGCTGTGGAATGTGCTGGGATCAGACCCTTGACTCTGTGCTCAGCAGTAGGACTCTGTGCTCAGCAGTGACTAAAGTATGAACGCCTGGCCTTAGACCACAGCCGGCCCTTCCTTTCAGGCTGTAAGAGAAGCTCTGAGCTCTGATGGCTACCATTTCCCCTCAACCATTTGTGTTGTAGTCATGCAGAGATATGAAGGACTCACATAGACACATCATTTTCTTATTTTGCCAAACTGAAATTTTCAAAGGAAGACGTTTTAATATTTATCATCACCTTTTAAAAGTAAGATAGGAACAGTGAACAGTTGACCACTTTACCATACATATACAAATATTAAAATGGTGATGGATTAAAAAACATCTGGTAGGCTTTATTTAGTAAATGACAGCCAACGTGTATTTTTATTTACCAATAGTCACTGTTATGTGGGGGTAATCAACAGCTATCTAATTGGATTCAAAGCCTTCTCAATTGGACAGAACTCATGGGTAGCACTGTTAACTCAGCCAAATACACATGGCCTGAGAGGACCTAGATCCTAGAGAAAACCCTATATCTTTCATATCTCTAGACAAATGAAATCTTATCATATGATAAATATCAATCCTTATATTCACAGACACACATGCCATACTTCATCAAAGAAGGACTTCATCAAAGAATCACTCATCAAAGAAGCTTCTTTTTGCAACAGATGGAAGCTATTAAAGGATGGCACATCTGGTCAGACACAGAGAACATACATCTGAGAGATGCCCAGTACTAGGTGACACATCTATAGTTGAACCTCTACAGCTAAGGCTCATGGAACATAGTGGAACAAGGGATAGAGAGAAAACTAATGTATCACTTAACTTTCACCAGTAAAACTCCCTTACACAATAGAGTACAACTGACCAAATTTTAAAGAATAAGAGACTGTAGAGTGCAGGACAGGACTCCTAAATGGATCCTCATCCACCCATGGCTCAGGGAACATAGCAGAAGAGGGGGTGGAAAGAGTGTAAGAGACAGGGCTTGTTGATGAACACAGGGAAGCAGAGGTTTCCAGGCTACTGGAAATTTGCACATGTGAACTTGTGGCAATGGTGGCATTAAATACAGGATCCGGGTCAACTCAATTAAACAAGGGCCCAAAAGGGAGGGAGAGAAATAGGTGGTAGGCTGGCCTTAGACTGAGAACTATTGGAGACTGATTGCTGCTAGGTGAGGGAGAATATGATTTACATATGATCACTAGACGGGCTGGCCAGCTGCCAGTGGATACATTTACACTGAAGGACATTTGGGTACAAGTGCTTGAATGACTAGTACGTAACATGTATGATGGAATACATGAGGTTCGATGGGGGATTGGGAGAGGCATGGATGGGGGAAAAGGTCTAAATTTGATTAAAAACTGTTGTATGAAATTACAAAAACTCATATATATATAAAGTCGCTGAGCAAGTCAGGGGGAGCAAGCCAGTAAGCAGTGTTTCTCCATGATCTCTGCTTCAACTTCTGCCTCCAGGTTCCTGTTCTGAGTTTTTACCTTACTTCCCTCAAAGATGGACTGTGCTTTGGAAGTTTAAGATGAAGTAAATCTTTAAAGGTATCTTTTGGTAATGTGATTCTATATAAAGCTTACCCATAAAAAGAGAAAGCTTAATACACTTACCTTAAATTCTGATTTTTGAAAATTAAGGCGATAAGAACTTGGCTTGTGGAAGATATAGATATTGCTGAAAAGAAAGAATATAAAGCAGGTTGCCGTTATGTGTAAAAATCTAGTACCACGGCTTTAGTCTCTCTCTTAGACTCAAGTAATTATAGGCGGAAAAACTTTAAAAGAAACCAACCTGTGCTGCACTACTTGTTCTATATTTTATTATTTTTTTTTATGTGTATGAGTGTGTTGCCTGCATGTAGGTAAGTGCAACCACCTCGGCAATGCCCTCAGAGGACAGAAGAGGCCATTGGATCCCCTGGAACTGGAGTTACGGACAGTTGTTAGCTGCCCTGTGGGTGCTGGGATTTGAAACCAGGTCTTCTGCAAGAAAAACCAATGTTCTTAACTACTGAGCCATCTGAGACAAAAATTGTCTCAATGGGAAAAAAATTACATCTTGGAAGGCAGCTATGCTCACCACTATACCACCAACACCGGAGCTTGTATCTAATCCTTAAAATATTTTAGGGTTACCTATTCAGAGGGGGGAATGTTGGAGGGGAGGGAGTGGGCATAGGTTTGATTAAAACATCCTATATGCATGTATGAAATTCTCAATTAAGTTTTTGTAAAAGTTAAAAAAAAAAAAACCTGGGGTCCAGAAAAAAAAAAAAAACATCTTAATTAACAAGTCTAAAGAGAAACCTAGAATGATTACAATGGATAGGGCTGATCAAGTGTTGTGTAGACAATCAATGCATTCATTATTCCCTTCAAAAACTATTTGAAGCTGGGCATGGTATCACACACCTTCAATGCCATCATTTGAGAAGCAGAGGCAGGCGGATCTCTGTGAGATTGAGGCTAGCCTGGTCTCCAAAGTGAGTTCTGGGACAGCTGAGACAACAGGGAAACCCTGCCTCAAAAATAACAATCAACAAACAAAACAAAAACCTTCTATTTGATATTACACTAACACCTAGCTAACAGTTCGGAATTAGCAGATTGGGGCTGGAGAGGTGGCTCGGTGGTTAAGAGTATGCACTGCTCTTCCACAGGACCCAAGTTCATTCCCAGCATCCATGTGGGGTAGCTCACAACTGCATGTGATTCCAGCTTCAGGGGATCTAATGCCATCTCTTTTGGCCTCTTTGGGTGCCTGCATACCCACACATAAACATAAATAAATAAATAAATAAATAAATAAATAAATAAATAAATGCATACATACATACATACATTTTAAAATTAAAAAAGAACATATATGACCAATATATGGATATACAAAAATAAACACTGATGTGAGTTTTTGTACTGATACATCTCATGATTAATCCATGAGAACAGTCAAATACTTACTGAAAGCATACACAGAAGTCTTCAAAATCTAACCATATTTCTTTGGAAGCACTTTCATTTATTGTTACAAGTTCTTCCTGTGGTTTGTCCTGTGTTGCTGTTGTCTGGCTGACCAAATCTCTTTCTAAACTAAATCCCTCAGTTGGATGGCTGTCACCCGTTACAGACTCTGCTGGTTCATCTGTAAATGGTAGAAGAAATATGTCAAACATATCTTACATTGTTGCATAACATGCTTTTAAGATATGAAAAATAATATAGGGGAATTCAAATGTCAAGTTCTATTTATGGGAAAACATTTACTAAGATAATCACTTATATGCAGGCTTCAAGTGTATGAAGACACAGTTCAATACACTTAGAATTTCATGACAATTTAGAAAATTTGAAATTACTAATAGATTTGTGAACACATTCTTCAGACTCTGAGAAGTTACAATACAGATGAATTAGCTTATGTACTTAAAACTGCTACAAACATCATCATATAAGAAGGGGCATCCAAGAGAGCAGAGAGCAAAGTCAAAACTTAATAGATCAATTGTCACACATGTGTTTTATCATTCTACTCAGTCAGTGATTCTGTAACCTTGTTTTTTATTTATCAAGTACTATCATAAAACTCTTCCAGACTTCTTGAACCAACATTTTAATTTTATACACACACATATAACACTACTTTTTGCATTTGTGTCTTGGCCAAGTCTTTTGTTAGCAGCAGGAATTTGCAATTATTTCAGTATTTTCATAACAACAGACATACATGAGAATGCATGAACTTGTGGGCACACACTTTTGTAAACCCAGCAATCAGGAGGCTTAAGAACTTGAGGCCAACCTGGACCTCAAATGAGTAGTACGCCAGTCTTGGCAATTTAATAGAACACTATCTCACACAAAGCAAAACAACAAAGTAAAACAATCGTATAAACTTTGCTCCAGGAGCCTCTTCTACTTTTCATTTTACTTTGAATTTAACCTGTGAAATTATCACAATTTTCTAGGCTAGGGTAGATCAGAATTATCATATCAGAGGAGAGGCTAAGGAGAGGCTAGAGGTGGGAGAAGGGAAAGCTGAGTCTGCCCAGAAGCAAGAACTTTGTGTGCTTTGATACACACTGGAGAGAAAAGACAAGAGGGAATTACTGCTTTACCTTTTCCAAGTATGGTTTGTGATACACTATTACCCTGTGAAGTGAAAAAGAACAATCATCAGTCTATGCATAATCACCCAAAGTAGGACAGTTTGTAAATAGGAAATGTGACCCAAAAGAGATACACAGGTAACTTTTACAGCAGATTCATGAACTATTAACTTTAATGATATTCTTTATATTGCTGAGAAGTGGAGTACACATTCTTTTGTAAATAAAAGACGTTTTACAATAGAAGAAACTCAGAATCTCTTATGATTCGGAGTTGGGCCAATACCCAAGACTGGGTAGCTGTTACTGTATTTACTTCCAGCTGGCTGAGACTTGCAGTTACCTCACTTTCCATGAGGGGAAGAAGACCGGATCGCAGAGGTGTTCCTTTCTTAACGACAGATTGCACAAAGTGCCTAATGGAAAATAAAAGTGCAGAAACCTCTGTCATTATAACCTCTTGCTTATAGTGACTAATAAAGATCTGCAGCTTTATCAACAAAAGAAAGTTCCAATTGTGTTCATAGTTTTAAAAAAAATTTCATGCAGGGGCTGGAGCAATGACTCAGAGGTTAAGAGCATGGCTGCTCTTGCAGAGAACCTGGGTTTGATTTTTAACACCCACATGGTGGCTCACAACTGTCTGTAACTCCAGTTGCCAGGAGTCTGATGACCTCTTCTGGCCTTTGTGGATACTGTATACGTATGTGCACAGATGTGTATGCAGACAAATGTTTATATACATCAAGTATAAATAAATCTTTCATTTTAAAGATTGATACAAAATTCCAAATCATTTTTTATACTACTTTCCATCCAACTAGTCTGTGTTAGTCAATGTGTTGGTGCAAAAAGTTCTTTGGGACACTATTCATCTTAAAGCAATGGTAGTCATTTGGATGTTGATGATGGAAAAACAGGAATTCAGTTCAATTAATTATCATAGTTATGTATGAGTGAAATGGCTCAGTTTGGGAAATTTAGTCATGAATTGAGCACTCAAGCAAGTGAGACAGTCTACCCCAGAGGTTAGTTCTTCAAGTAATTGTTGACATGGTCCAAATCAGCACTGTCATGGCAAGAATTTCAGTGGCATCATGAAACACTTGTCATCATGTCTAATTCTGCATAAGTATCTTTCAAAAATAAAATCAAATTCTGTGCATATTGGCAAGTTTGGTAGCAAACACTAAATCCAGCACTCATGGGAGGTAGAGGCAAGCAGATCCCTGCAAATTCAAGTCCAGCCTCATCTACAAAATGATTTCCAGGTCAGCCAGGGCTACACCTTGAGATACTGTCTCAAAAAAAAAAAAAACCCTCAAAACAAAATGGAAAAAACTATACATGTGGACTTCATAAATTTGGATATTTTCCCCCAGTTATTGTTCAGTGAGATTTAAATCCACACATTTACAGCCAACTGATTTTTGACAAAGGAGCCAAAAATACACATTGGAGAAAAGACAGCATGTTCACAAATGGTACTGATCAAACTGGACAAGTACATGTAGAAGAATTAAACTAGATCCCCACCTCTCACCATGCAAAAAACTCAACTCTGAATGGATCAAAGATTTCAACATAAGACCCCGTATCCTGAATTAGATAGAGGAGAAATTCAGGAATATATTGGAACTTATAGCACAGGAAAGGACTTTATGAACAGGATTCCTATAGTGCAAACATCAGGTCCAACAATTGACAAATGGAAACACATGAAACTAATAAGCTTCTGTACATCAAAGGACACCATCATTCAAGTGCAGACTAAACCTACAGAATGGGTGAAAATCTTTACCAGTTTTACCTGCAACAGAGGGTTAATATCTAGAATACATAAAGAACTTAAAAAAAAAAAACCTAAACATTGAAAAAAACAACCCAGTTAAAAGTGGGGCAAGGAGCTAAACAGTGAGTTCTCTACAAATGAAACACAAATGGCTGAGAAATACTTTAAAAATGTTCAACATCTATAGTCATTAGGGAAATACAGATTGAAACCACTTTGAGATTTCATTTCACCTCTCCCAGAATGACAAATTTCAAAAACAGAGCAATGACAAATGCTGGTGAGGATGGAGAGAAGGGGGAACACTTATCCACTGTTAGTGGCAGTGCAAACTGGTGCAGCCACTATGGAAATCAGTGTGGAGATTCCTCAAGAAGCTCAAAATTGATCTGCATATGACTCAGCTATACCACTCTTGGGAGTATACCTGAAAGACTCTATACCCTACTACAGAAACACCTGTTCATCCACGTCCATTGCTGCCCTTTATGTAATGGCCAGAAATTAGAAACAAGCTAGATGTCTATCAACTGATGAATGGATAATGAAGGTGTGGTACAAGTATACAACGGGACATTATTCATCTCTTTAAAAAAATAAATTATGAACAGTTGTGGTGCTTGGTATTAGTCTCTGCTGCAAAAGAGCTTCTTTAGTGAGTGGTGACTGGGATATTAGTTTATAAGGATTTGGTGCTAGGATCCACATATGAGGGAGAACATACGTCATTTGTTTTTCTGAGACTGTGTTATTCACTTAGTACAACAGTTTCTAGTTCCATCTATTTACTTGCACATTTTATGATTTAATCTTTCTTCACTGCTGAGTAGAACCCCATTAAGTAAATGTACCACATTTTCATTATCCACTCATAAGTTGAGGGACACTTAGGAGGTCTATGAATTTCCCAGGCCTAAGGGACACATCTGCAATGCAACCTCTACACCTAAGGCTCATGGAACATGGAACAGGGATAAAGAAGAGGACACTAAGGAATCAGTTCTCAATAATGAAGCTCCTCATGCAGTGGAGGGCCAGGAACACAAAAGGTCACAAATGGCCAAAGTGTAGAGATCGTCTGCTAAATAATCGTCCTTGGACAGGACCCCTTTATTAAACTTCATCCACCCAAGGCTCAGGGACCATCGTGGAAGAGGGGACAGAGAGATTGTAAGAGCCAAGGAGGATGTGTATGACCATATGGAAACAAGAGTCCTACAAATTCCTGGAAACCTGCTCATATGTTTCTATGGCATAGGTGTCAGTGTACACAAGTCCCATGCAAACTGAGGCAAACAGTAACCTAGCATAGAACTGGGATAAGGGACAGCAGACCCCAATCTTATCTAAAGGAATGTTGGTAACTGATTGCTGCTAGATGAAGAAAAGCTGATCTTCTTATGACAAGGCACTCTAGGGTGACTAGACTCAGTGGATGGACTTGCGCTGGGGAACAGCTGGGGCACTGACAACACAGTGGGCAGTAACAGGGATGACAGAGTATATGGGCTCCAAGGGGAGGGGGTGAGGCTATGGGAGGGTGCCACTGGGGATGAGGTATAAAGATGACACCCAAAACATTTTCATCCACAAAGTTCATGCTGGAGTACTGTACAACGGAGTTACAAAAAAGCAAGAAACAAAAGAAAACCTCAATGTGCTAAGTCAGTCTACAATTTTGTGTTGGGCTATACTCAACTATCCTAGGGACCTATGAGATACACACAAAAAAAATCAATAGAAAATTAAATTATGAAATTTGCATGTAAATGGATAGAACTAGAAACAATCATCTTGAGGTAACCCAGACTCAGAAAGATAGGCATCACGTGTTCTCTCTCATAGGTGGATGTTAGCTTTGAAATCTTAGATATGCATGTTTCAGTTTGAAAATAGAAAGGGTTAAATCAGGTGAGGAATGGGAGGTGGGATAGAAGAGGGAATGTGGGGAAGGATAAGTAAACCAAAGGCCTTTAGAAAAATCACATGGAAACCCACCATTATAGAAGCTTCTTAAAGTAGAAACATATACATTATTAAAAGAGATTAAAAGGAGTTATCCAAAAGCAGGGTACACTGCCCTTTCTAGATATCATAGGAGAAAAAAATAAAGAAACCTCAATGGCAGGAGTGGACTCCCTCTCTAGAAGCTACTGATCAGGCGTCCTGTAGACCCTCAAACAATACTGATCAATGCCTTTGCTCTTGGTTATCCACCAGAACTGGACCCTATTGCTGAAGAAACTACATACATAAGATGGAGAAACAAACAAGGATACCAGATGTTGATATCAGGCTTAGGAACCTAAGGCTAGACAGATTCACAGAACATGGGGGCAACCTAATACTAGTTTTCTACTAAATAGCTATTGTATCAAACTGACTCCAAATGACTTATTCTTATGCCCATAAGATTAATGTATCTCTCAACTCTCACCAGAGAAGTTTCTTTATGCAACAGTTGGTGATTATCACAGAAACTCACAACTGGCCAACATGCAGAGAACAAGACACTGCAGAGCACTTATCCCTGAATAGGACACCTAGGACAAATTTCTGCCTCCCAAGGCTCAGGGATCATTGTAGAAGAGGGGGTTGGAAAGATCACAAGAGCTAGAGGTGGTGGATGACCACAGGGAAACAGAGTTCTCCAGACAGTTGGTCAGTTACATATATCAACTCACAAGTCCCATCCAAGTTCAACCCAGACAAAATTCCAGCACAGACGTGAGGAAGTGGGTAAGAAGCTCCAATTCCACATTTCCTCCAAGCTGCTGGGTGGGGCAGAGACAGTTTCTTTCAAGCATAGGAGTCTTGGTAGGTTAACCAGGCTCTAGTGGATGGACCCACACTGAAGGACATTTGGGGACACAAATTAGACTCTATAGGCCCTATTACAAATAATATATGTTACATATATTATATATAAAATAGTAAAGTACATTAAATTGGGCATGGGGCAATAAGAGGAGGTTCAGATGGGGAGGGGATCTAACTATTATCAAATTACATAATTGTATAAAAATCATAAAAATTCAATTTTAAAAAGCATATTTAAAAAATTAATTTTTGGACTTACAGGCAACTTCCACCAGAGGGTAGCAGAAACATATTTATGTGGCTCCAATTCTAAATCATGATTCAAGAATGATCAAGCCTGTCATATTGCTGCAGTGGCAGAATTCCAATGAAAAGGCATTATTGTAGCAGTTATTCTCCAAGCGAATATTGCTCTTATGGTGACCTAGGAAGTCTGACTGCACAGTAAAGCAAGTCTGAGACATGTCCTTCACACAGGATGAAGTGACAGTCACATATCTCTACTTGGCTCTGCCACATAGCATGAATATGTAAACAAATTCATAACTGCTTCCAGCAGGGAGATTAGCCAAATGCAGTCAAGTGACAAAGCCACCTGCTTTGGGGAATTAGAATTTTATTCATCTTAATCAAATTGTAAAGCTGAAAAGTGTTACAGAAAATCAGGTAAGGGGAGAAAGTCAGGGAACTTAGGCTGTGACGTCAATCTATTTTGGTCCCTATTAACACAAGAATTCTTAAGGGCTGGGTATGAGAATATAAATTATAAGAAACTTTATCTTAGTGGTAAGCAGTTGCAGTTCTTAAAACCTAAATAATCTCTGATTAGTATGCAAACTTAACTGTAATACTTGATTCAAGTCCATCTCCTGGGGTCTGCAGCCTACAAAGAGGAGGGTCGCCTCATAAGAAACATTTCTTCCATGCTTCCAAGTGAAGCCAGCCATGATCAAGCAGGACCTTTGATTTATCTTCACAAAGATGGAACTATAAAAGAAATGAGCCAGGTGCTCCTCCCAAGCCCCATGAGACTCCTGAGGAACACATCCTCAAATGACCTTAAGTGTAAAATGAAATTTATTTATTTGGGCCAACTGTATGGTTTTAAATGCCCCAAAGGAAAGTATAACCAAAGAGTGAAATGATCAGTGTATTTCTTTTAGAGTTCAAGGGATTACATTTCCCACACATTATGCTTAAGTCCATATAAAGAGTTATTTAGGCAATTATTTCTCATTGATGATTTTGTTCCTAATCAGAAAGTGCTGCTCAGATGTAAGACTTCAAATCTTGGTCTCCAATACTGTGGTGCCCACCTGTAGCTAAGGGAGACAACCTGCTATTGTTCTAAAATGATGGATAAATTTGTTTTCTCTAGAAGCCTTTGAGAGGGAACTGACACTAACTATTCCAACAGCTATCAAAATGCCTGAAAGCAAATCCTGAATTCATCACTCTAGTGTCCAGCTTTGAAAGACAAAAGAAAAATGAGGAGGAACCCAAAAGAGGGATGCTTTTGGAAGCCTTTGTCAAGAAATTCCAATGGACTTTTGAAAATTACCCCATTCTGACATTTTTCTAGTTCCCTGTCTAGAACATGTAATGTTAACTACTCTTGCCTTTACTTCTCCTTCACATCTCCTATTCATCAGTCAAGGACTTTCTTTCCCCCCTACAGATAAGGGTTATGCAATTTGGGAGTCTTAGATAGACCCACTGAAAGGGTACACCAATTGCCTCACCCTGCGTCCCTGTTCAGCATGGAAGAAGCTGGAGCAGTCTGCATCCAGATTCCCTATCCGCAAGTTGGGTAACCTCTTCAGAGGATGGTGTGATAAGAATAGGAGGTAGGAATTGGCTAGGCAGTTAGGGTAAAAAGATCCCAAAGAAAAGTAGCCAGTTTCTTGGCTAAAAATCACAATGTCCTTGGGCCTCTTAGCAACTTACTCCATTCCAAAAGCCAAAAATTTCAAAAATATTTGAGAGCTTTTATCTAACCCTTAAAAGATTTTAGGGTTACCTCTTCAGAAGGGGGAGTGTTAGAGTAGTCAAAAGCCCCATCTAAAAAATCAATTGATAAAAGAAGAAGAAAGAGTAGATGAAGTTATCAGAAAAAAAGTGATGGGGAGATATGGGAGGAGTTGGAGGGGAGACAGTAGGCGTGGATTTGATCAAAACACCTTATATGCATGTATGAAATTCTCAATAAATTATTTTAAAAAATACTTGAATGGCAATATTGTAATCTTAGTAGATGTTATGGTTAATTTCAGGTGTCAACTTGACCAGATTATGGTGTTCCTAGCTGAATGGTAAAGCATCATTTCTAGGTATGCCTGACAAATATCAGCATGGAAATTGGTGCATCGAGTGGGAAAGTTTTGTGCTTTCCACTCAGCAGTGGGCGGATAAAGCAGAAGAACTGAGGAAAGATGACTTCACTCTCTGTGTCCCGGAACATTCTTCCCCTGCCCTAGAACAGCAGAACTCCAGGGACTCTGGCCTTTGAACTCCAGGACTTGCATAGGAGCACACCCAGCCCTTCGGCCAAGGGGAAGTTAAGCCCCTGATTTCTGTAGTTCTCAGACTTCAGCCTTGGATAACTATGCCTTTCTGCTCTCTAGCTTGCAAATGGCCTGTCATAAGATTCTCAACCTCCATGGTCATAACAGTCATGTAATTTTGCATTTGTCTTTGCCACATATCATGAATATGTAAATAAATTCATAATCAATCCCAGTGGGGAATAGATTAGTTGAATCTAATCCAGTGACAAAGTCACATGCTTCTAGGTATTACAATTTTATTCACCTTAATCAAATAGTAAAGCTGAAAAAGGTTACAGAAAATCAGATAAGGGAGAAAGTCAGGGAACTCAGGCTGTGACAGCAATCCATTTTTATCTCTATTAACAGATTATTACAGACTCCATATGATCCCATAAGTGATCCTCTGGCAAGTCCCCTCCCATCCATATAGGTATCTCTCTTCTATTAAGCACTTGGTATCTATGCATACATCATACTTGTTCTGGTTCTCTGGAGATCCATGACCAATACCATGGGGATCTTTCAGCATAAACTTAATTAGAAAAATCATAAAGCATTAACAATTTTACATTAAGTTAAAAAGAAAAAACCTCTGTGTATACTACAACATATTGAATGTCTCTCCCCAAAGCTCTTGGGTTGAAGCCGTACCTTCTACATGATGGTATTTGGAGGTCTAGCCTTTGGGAGATGTTCAGGTCAGGAAAGTAGAGCCCTTCTAAATGGGATGAATCCAGAGATATACATTACCCCTTCTTTGGGTGGGGTTCCAGAGGAAAAATATGGCCCTTCGTGGCACAGGAAACTGGCCTAAACATGACACCAGCTCTACTGGCCTTTTGATCTTGGACTTCCCAGTCTCCAGAATGGTGAGAAACAAGCTTCTGTTATTTATAAGAAACCCAGTCTATGGCAGTGTTCTTATAGCAGCAGAAACAGACTAAAACACTGTGTGTGGCATTTTGTTAAGACATTAAAGAATTTCGTATGGCATGTAATCTAAAAAATTACTTTTTTTTTTCAGTCTTGAAATATCTTTTATTGGAAGGTCATGCATTGCCATCATTTATTGTATTTAAAATCACTGTACAGTTACTTTTGTGAAAACTCTGCCTGCATTTTCTAGTACAAAAAAAAAAAACCTAAAAATTGTTTCAGGAATGTAGAGAAATATCCAACTTAAATAGCGAAAAAGTGCAGCATAATTACTGCAGCACTGCAGTCATTTCTGCATTTCCCATGTTTCTTAAATAACTGTCTTGTCTGATAACACACAATATAAAGAGCAATTATGAAAAACAGGCATTTACATATACTTCTATTTCTTACTGAGAATATCCTGTTGGCATTGGATAGCCAATCATAGGCGCAGCAGCTGCAGTAGCAGGATATGCATATGACTGTTGTTTCATACCATTGTGCATATTTGCAACATTACTTCCATATTGCTGAGTGCTATCATAAGCATTCCGGTAAGTCCCTGTTGGATTACCAGTCCTAAAACTGGTTTGTATACCAGCAGACACAAAATTACTTCCAAAGCTCCCATTGGTGTAATTTGCAGCACTGTAAACACCATTCTGAGTTTTTGCCCCAAAATCTCTCTTAAGCAGACTAGAATAACCTCTGTCATAATTTTCCCTGTCTTTAAAGGTATTAAATCCACCCCTTTTGCCCACAGAGTATCTGTCCCAACGATCATCCTTCATGCCTCCTCTACCCCTGGAACAACCTGAACCTCTGTCTTCAACCAGCTGAAGCAACTTGGGGTTAATTGCTTGATTAGCTTCCCGAAGCACAGAGATAAAGTCGCTCACTTGATTTATATTATTAGATGTAAAGAAAGTGTATGCTGTGCCTGTTTTGGTACTGTGAGCAGTTCTTCCAATTTGATGAATATAATCCTCTGAGGAGTCAGGGTAGTCATAATTGATGACAAATTTCACATCTTCCACATCTAGCCCTCTGGAAGCAATATCAGTAACAATAAAAGTATGATTTAATATTTAATACCAGCTATAGGTTTAATTTAAAGGCACATGAGAAGTTTAGTTTTTCAACAATAATGGTGTGTCTAGGAAAAATTAAGTTTCTATACATCTATTTTCTTGTTACAATAAGTTAAGCATTTGAATAAATATTCATAATAAATTAGGTGTTTATTTAAAGAGAAAATAAAGATATATTAAATTTGTAAATGCCATTTACAAAGTTTAAATAAGTGTATTTAATTCATCATAAATGTCTATAGAATTTAATATATTTATTACAAAAGAACATTTAATGTGAAATAAAAATGACTAAAACAAGATTTATGAATTTGTGATGAAAGCAAACTTTTAAAGCCAAAGTAGAACAAATTATCTTTTCTATTTATTCAGCTGTAGTCCACAGCTAGGCACTGCTGATAATTTGCTCAGGAGTATTGTGTGAGGTATTGCCTCACCTTCAGTGTTCACTTGTTGATGCATAAAACTGATAGAAACTTAGGCCAGGAGTGCACACCTGTAGTCTCAGCACTCAGAAGGCTAAGAGCTGAGGATAACAAATTCAACGTGCCCTTAGGCTACATGGTGAGATTGTGTCTCAGAAATCAAACATTCACACAATAACAACAAAAATAAATAAATAAATGAAAGAAACAAAAGTGACTCCTCCCAAGCAAGACAGAAACTTAAAGGTAAAAGATAGGAAGAATGTGTGTAATATATTCAACTTAAACAGAGTAGGAAAATATAATTTAACTGATTAACTGGCTTTCATGCAATGTGCTCCTAACAGAAAGTACAATGAACGGAATATTTATCTAAATTGCAATTGCTTTTTTTCTTATCAGTCAGTACTTTTTGCATGGATTATAGCATACCCTAGGAAAGATTAAACTATATTTAATAGATGATATATCCGTTGTGTCCTATGATGAATACTGCCCACAACTTGACAGGATCTGGAATTACTGAGGAGCAACATCTCTGGGCATGTCTGTGAAGGAGCTTCTAAATTATATTGAATAGGTCATGGAAGACCACCCTAACTGTAGGCAGCATCAATCCATTGTCTCAATACAAAGGAGAAAGTGAGCTGGGCACAGGCCTTCATTTGTCTGTCTCCTGACTGCAGACACAATGTGACCAGCTGTCTCACACTCTTGTCCCCAGGCCTTCCCTGCCATAATGGATTGTACCCTCAAACTGTGAGCCAAAATAAACCTTTCTTAAGTTGCTTTTGTCAGGCATTTTATCATAGCAAAGAGAAATGTAAGCAGTACATATTATTTTTTAATTAATACTTTTAATAAAATGTTTTTTGGTGGTGCACACCTTTAATCCCAGCACTCGGGAGGTAGAGGCAGGCAGATCTTTGTGAGTTCGAGGCCAGCCTGGTCTACATAGTGAGTTCCAGGACAGCTGGGGCTACAGGGAGACCCTGTCTCAAAAAGACAAAAAATATGGTTTTGAATTTAAAATATATTTCTAAAACATGGGCAAATAAGTAAAACTTAACAGTTACTGGCTACCAAATTAGACAGACCACAATAACATCTTCTAAATAACTTAGATGCCTCAATATATTTTCTACTCAATATTTACTGAGTTCAAGCACCTGTCATCTCCTTAGGTATTTTATTAAGCATCAAAATGTTACAGTATTGACACAAAGTTCACATTCTAACTCTTTTAAGTTCTTTGTTAACTAATTTTGACTAACTTGCATTCATAATATTAGAGACAAAACTATTAGAAGTAAGCAATATTAAGCACGATGAAATTAACAGTAGTGGTGTGCAAGCAATACTCTTACTACAATGAGACTAACCAAAGAAACTAAACCCTTGAGAGGCCACGAGTGGAGCCATAGAGTGTCATGAGAATTGTGGTTTCCCAAGTCCTTGGGTCCTTCTGACAGAGCAACTATAGTAATAAGTATGATTCATCAAAGAAAGAAGGTTTTGAATATTCTCTAAGAAAAATGTCGCTTAATACATTCATACTATGCATAAGAAGTTCACATAACACAGTTTTTACTAATAAATGTCAACAATGATAGGATTGCTTTTTATTTCTCTTCATTGCAGCCTCACTTAGGGCCGATTGTTCTCCAAGTGACAGAACCTTGATTCAAAGTAGATTTAAGAGGAAAGGGAATTTCATGGGCTTTTCTAACTGAAAAGCAAAGGGAGGAACGGAGACCAAATCGTAGAATATCCTTTTACATATCTATAAGCCTAATAATTATAAACTAGTGTAAGGCATTATACCATTAATTGTATTAGGTGACATTTTTCTTAGTTGCCACATATTTGGAAGATTTTCATGAAGAGAGGGAATATAGAAACATTTTAATAATTTATTACTTTTATTTTTGTGTATGAGTGTATTGCCTACATGTAGTAAGTGTACCCATGTTATGCAATGTCCACAGAGGTCAGAAGTTGTAGGATTCCCTGGAACTGGAGTTATAGACATTGGTTGGCCACCATGTAGATAGTGGGACTCGAACTCAGGTCGCCTGGAAGAGCAGCCAGTGCTCTTAACCACTGAGCCATCTCTCCAGCCTCATAGAAACATATTTTAATAGCTTCACAGGTTATTCCTTTTGGAAGAAGAACTGAACACATGGCTTCAGAAAGGGGTAGGGAAGTGTCTTCTGAAGATACATATAACTTCAAGTTCAAGTTCTTGTGTTGAACCCCTAAACCTGCGTACAGGGAATAGTATTAGCCCAAGAGAGAGGGATGTATGTTGCATACAGCAAAGCTGGAGAGGCTGAGCCATCCAAGCCCTTTGGAAGTAAAGTCTGAAAAGTCTGACATGGAGCTGCTGGCTTTGGTGTTTGCTCTGCTGGTTTTTGGTCTTGTTTTGGTCCAGTATTTCCTCACTGTGCCTCTATTCCTCCCTGCTGGAATGGGAATGTGTATTCAGTTCCACTGTATGTTGGGTGTGTGTGATTTGTCTTTTGATTTTACAGGGGCTTACAGCGATTTCTCTACATCTCAGAAGAGATTTTGGACTGTGGGCTTTTGAGTAGTATTGAGACTGGTAAAGACGACGGGGACTTTTAAGGTATTTAAATGCATTTTGCATTTTATAAGGTCATGAGCCTATGGGGGCCAGGGAGTGGAATGTGGTGGTTTGAATGAGAATGTCCCCCATAGGTTCCAAGTATTTGGACATTTTGTTCCCAGTTGGTGGTGCTGCTTTGGGAGCTCTTAGAAGGTGTGGCTATGCCCCCAGGTCACAGGGGGCAGGCTTAGAGAGTTCTTAAGCCTTGCCAGATCTCCAGTCACTCTCTTGTTTCCTATGCCTGCTTGAAAATGTGAGTGCTTAGTGTCAGCTCCTCCTCCAGCCACCTCTGCCCCCATGCCTCCCCACCACAATGGATTCTTGCCCCTTGGAACTGTAAGCTCAAATAAACTCTCCCTCCTATAGGTTGCTTTGGTCAGCCTTTCTATCACAGCAACAGAAAAGTAACTAAAAGCCATGTACACTTTTGCTTCCTCTTCTAAATAAAACTTTTGTTTGCTGGCCTGTTGGATCAGTCTATATATCCTTTTATTAATGAGTCCAAGAGCCTGGAAAGCAAGGGTTCTTGTCATCTACTAATCTTTCTTTGCAGATCTTACTGCCTAGTGGTACACTGGGAATCGAGTTTCTAACACATGAAAGTTTAGCGGACACATTCAAACTATTGTACTTCCTTAGAGGTCAAGGCTTCAACTTATGAAGACACAAACTTTCAGTACACAATATTTCGACCCTGGATTTCTCAAGTTTGTGTTTTCTTACATGCAAAAATACATTCATCCCATGCCAACAGCTCTAGAGAATCTAAAGTGAAAAGTTTCATCTAAAGTACCATCTACATCAGATATGGATGAGCTTCTTTGTGTATGACTTGCCTCAGGATGCTGAGGCAAAATTTTCTTGCTGTGAATCTTTCAAACTACACATCATGTGCTTCAAAAATACAATATTGGGACAGGGATTGGGCAGGCATTCTCATTTCCATCAGCTGTTTAAGATTCTTTTGCTCTACTCAGGTGGTGAATGTAGGTAGGCAAACAGAAGCTCGCCTGGGCTTTGGCAGCTTTTTTTCCCGTCTGGTTTTGGTAGCAGCTTAGCAGCAGTGCTGGGCAGATGAAGCAGCAGCAGGTGGTGCCCTCTAGTGTTAGAGAGTCCCCATAAGGCCTCTACTATCAGGACCATTAGTCATACAGCGTTAATGCTCTTCTGTAGGCCTAAGAGATATAAATTTATCAGCCTTTGACAGAAGCCTATGTAGGATGGCTCTTGTGTAGGACTAGGAACTCAGGAGTCTTTAGACTTTAACACTAGGCTTTGTGGTAGCTCTTGTTCCCATGTTCAAAACCCTCGGACCTAAAGATTTGACAGCCTGATCATGCTGGGATCTTTGTAAAGTCAACTGGGTCACTGAATTTAAAGACCTCTGGTCCTCTATACCTCTGATGGACATGGCATCCAGCTGATTTCTGAACCCCTCAACAGTCCCTTCTGAACTGTCCCCCCAAGAGTCCCTTCTCTTTTCCCAGAATGTACCTCAAACTCCTCCAGCCTCTACCAGCTATTCAGTTGTAAAACCACATCCACTTTTTATACCGTTGTTATAGCAGGATCCCACTTTTTCAATACCAAAATCTGCATTGTTTCAGTCATATGCCATAATAAAGTCATGAGCTAGGTGGCTTATGTGAGTGAAATGTGTTTTCCCTCAGTTTAGGAGCCTAACAGTGTGAAAGCAACTTGTTTATTAAGGGCTCTCCTCTCTGCCTTGCTTTGCAGACTTCCAATTCGTGCTCAAGTGGCTTTTCCAGGCAAAGGTGCAGAGGACAAAAGAGTGAAAGCTCCTGGAGTCTCTCCTCACAAGGGTGCTGATCCTGTCAGATCACAGTGCTACTCATGAAAGCTCCTGGAGTCTCTCCTCACAAGGGTGCTGATCCTGTCAGATCACAGTGCTACCCATGAAAGCTCCTGGAGTCTCTCCTCACAAGGGTGCTGATCCTGTCAGATCACAGTCCTACTCATGAAAACTCCTGGAGTCTCTCCTCACAAGGGTGCTGATCCTGTCAGATCACAGTCCTACTCATGAAAACTCCTGGAGTCTCTCCTCACAAGGGTGCTGATCCTGTCAGATCACAGTCCTACCCTGTGGCCTAGTTTAACCTTAATTCTGTCCATAAAAATCACTTCCCCCAAATCCAGCCACCCTGAAGTTTAAGACTTAGAACTTCAGCATTTTAGTTTGGAAGGATACGAAAGATTTAGTCTATAAGACTTACACATAAATGAGCAAAACTGTTTGCATTAGCAAGGTAATATGATAACAGGATATGAAATATTAAGTAAATGCCCTTTAATACGTTTTTATTTTTTTTTCTCAAATTAATGTTCTTCAAATGTTCTTTCCACCGAGGGCCATGTTAGTACCATGTGATACCGTATTCACCAGATGCATCTGTGAGAACGCCCCATACTTACGTTTCTGTTGGAATGGTAAATGGCGTCATTCTGTAATTCAGAAATGGACTTGAAATCTCAAGAAACTTCTCAGGCTTCTTTATTACTGCATCTAGAAAACACCAGTTGGGTAGTGTAATGTATGTTTTTTATAACCTTTCAGATTTATCTGCAGAATTCAACATTTATTGTAGTGCTCATTAGAGTAAATATTTACACAGGAATTTTCAATAGAGTTGATGTAGGAATATGCAGAGACATCTAAACTTTTTTATTGAAAGAGTTTTTGGGTCTCGCCAATACTAGCTTTGTTTCACTCCAGTTTCTTTCAAGGTTGTGAGTGGAACAATTAAGCTCAAGGGAGAAAGGAATGTTTTTGTATTAGCTGTCATCTCAAGTGCGGGGATCATTTTCCATAAAAGTCTGTGCTTTAGGAAAAAGTGTTTCCTTAGTTTACCTCTTGCGCACATGAAGAGGAAATATGAACTAATACATAGAGGTTGCAGGGGAAGAACGAAAAGTACAGCAAAGGTCATGAGTAGGAAGAAACTGTGTTGGAAGAGGATTGTGGGTATGGCTAAGTACAGAAGAAAATCCCACTGAGAAGGGGCGAAGCACACAGGCTCCCATGGTCCGTCCTGAAATTGAACAGGAAGGGCAGTTGCTGGGGAAGGAAGTGAGGTTTTCACAGCTGAGTTTCTCTGACCCTTCTGTACTATTCTCAAGGATTATTTCCCATTCTGTACGTTGCTACTTCACTATGAACTCAACAGAAAGAAGACAAACACATGACGACCCGTCACTCAGGCCACAGTCACTATGGAATTCCATCAACAGTGAGAAGAATGACCATACATAGACTTTCATTCTAACCAGTGGTAAAATTAGAACATAAGTCTATTTTCAATATTCTTTCTTTCAGTCCCAGATGCTCTGAATGGACACCTATTTTAAGCAACTCAATGCATTTACCTAAAATATAGCCAATATAGTATTTAAAAAGGATTTAAAAACATGTTATATTGGTGCTGATCTTTGCTTCAGGAAAGAACATAAAAGAGGAAAAAAGGCAGGCAAAAGGTGAGAAGACAGGTAGGCAGGAATGAAGATGGGAAGGAAGGAGACAGGAAGGAAGGGAGGGAAGGGAGGGAGAGAGGGAGGGAGAGAGGGAGGGAGGGTGGAAGGGCCGAAGGGAAGAAGGAAGGAGGGAGTGAAGGGAAGAAGGAAGGAGAAAGAGAGAGGAGGGAGGTAGGCAGGGGGTGGGGGGGAAGATCACTGAGATTTGTCTTGGGCTGTGTCTGGGATATGTGCACTAAAAGACCAGTTGTATTTGAAGCCAGAACCACAGCAATTCAAAGGCATTCCCAGCAGTAAGGATAAAGCCACTCATGGTTTATAATGCATGGGAAACACTCAAAACATTTCAGAAACTTAACAGTGCTGCCTTCTGGAAATGGCATATGTGTGTCCATGTGGCTTTGCCTTAACTGTTCATTCACTTGACAAACCTCTGAATAACACTCCTGTTATAGTTTGGATGTTAAATGTCCTTCAACAGACTATTCATCAAAAGACTGGTCTCCATGATAGAACTATTGGGAGGTATGTGCGCTGATCATGATGTCTTGCTTTGTCAGAAACCCAAGCAATAGTATTATTCAATGGGCATTTTAAATCTTTGATCCAAATCTTTCTTCTTTATAAGTTGATTGCATCAAGTATTTCATTGTAATAACAGAAAGATGTCATAACCTCCAATCAAACAATCTCTAGAATACTACATACTATTTTTGGACTGGGAAAATTCAAAAAAATAATTAGATATCAAAAAAAACCCAAAGCAAACAATGAAGATATACAAAAACAAGGAAAAGAACACAACAAATACATACATTTCTCCCAGTAAAAATTACAGATGCTCAGCTAACTGTGAGAAGACTATGTGCATTGAGTAAACACACAGGCTGCAAGGTGCTTGGCTGTGTCTTCTTTAGTTACTGTTTCTTCTGAAAATACTCTTCCCTCATCTTAATATTGTTTGGTTTAAAGTTGATTGTCCATTCTACGAACTCATTCATTTCTTCCTTCACCACCTTGGTCCCTTTTCCATTCAGGCATTGCACTTGTAAAAGGAAGACAAAGTTGGAGCAATGGCTCAGCACTCACAGCGCTTGCCGCTCTTGCAGAGGACCAGAGCTTTGGTCCCTCTAGCCATGTCTGGAGAATCACAACTGCCTGGAACTCCAGCTCCGGGGCATCTGACACCTTCTTCTGGTCTCCCCAGGCACTCATGTATACACACACACACACACACACACACACACACACACACACATACGCAAATAAATCTTGTTTAAAAAGCAAGACTAAAAGCATACATAGAACAAAAGAGTTTTAAAATGAATTGGAAGAAAGAAAAGACTGTAGGGACTCGTCCCAACCCGGCCTTAGTCTATGGGAACCCATTTATTTCTGAAGACAGCTGCCATCCACAGAGTGACTTTAAGACACATAGCTCAGGGCAGAATTTGCATCTTATTGGCATTCTAATTCTACACAGCAATTCAAAGATTAAAGCCTTCATGACACTTCACAATGATTTTTACATTTGAAATTCATGTTATTTAAGTTTCTATGTTTTTACTACAAACTGCTTTTCTGACATATTAATAATGATGCCATCACTTAAAGAATGAAATAGCTGGTCAATTTAGACATGACTCAAACTACTGGGCTTCTGAGACATACAAATTTTATTTAAATTTTTTATATATTTTATTTATTATTTTTATTTTATGTGTATGACTGTATTGCCTGCATGTATGTGAGTGCACCCGTGTTGTGCAATGCCACGGAGGTCGGAAGAGGGCTTCAGATTCCCCTGGAACTGGAGTTATAGATGGTTCGTAGCTGCCATGTAGGTGCTGGGAATTGAACCCAGATCCTCCGCAAGAGCAGTCAGCATTCTTAAGGGCTGATCCATCTCTCCAGCCCCCAAATTTGATTTTTTAAAGACATAATTTGGCTGAACTTCAAGTAGCTTTAGGTGCAATGCTGGCTGTTTTACACCAACATATACCTTTCCCATCAAAAGAAATTATTAAGCCTTCCCCGTAGAGAAACGTAAATTAGATTTTAAGTCAACGTGACACAAACCTTGTGCTTCATCTGTTATAACTGTTTCCTTTTTTTGGCGAATGAGTTTCCAGGGAGGCAAAGGAGGTGATTTGGGAGGCGCAGCAAGAGGACAAGACCTACTTCTAGTCACAAGTACAGGATGGCTACAGATGTGGGAAAGTCCGTATTCCCTGAGCTTCTCAGCAGAGTTTGCCTAAGAGATGGAAAGAAGATTCAAATTGAATCTCTCAGGAATCCCTTATATTTAAAAATAGCACTTTGCCAGTGGAAATACTATCACCACTACAGTGGTCAGAAGGTTTATGCCCTCATTTCTACCCCCTTCACACAGACATTATGACCGTTTGTACTTATTTGCATCTTTAAGTTTTCCTGAGATCCTATTTCCTTGTTTGAAAAGTGAAGCATTAGACCTAGAAGGTACTCAACCATTTTAAAAGCTTCAATCCCAGGAGAATGTGAAAGCCCTTAGCACACCAATTTGGTCTAAAATTAATCAGGAATCACTTTGGAGGTTAAAGCTGTACTAGTAACACTTATTACCCAAAGATTTAAAGAAAACTCATTAACAACTGCTACCTAGCATTACAAAAGAATTTCCAGTTTTGAATGCATTCAGGTGGGTGAGCTGGCAAGAAGGTGACCTTATCTAAATACTGTGCCCTCAACCTCTCAGAGTGGGTTCTTCCACTGGAAGTCCCATCACTGGAAACAATGGAGACATTCACAGAAGGGCGGGGCAGAGACTGTCCTCATAGATCAACAGCTGCTTTGGAATAATTCATATAATTTAAACAGAACTTCAGTTCCTCATTGCTGCCTGAAGCATGTCATAAGAATGTGTGTGTGTGTGAAAGTTCAAGTGATCTTTACTATCTCCAAATCCTGGCTTTCACAGCTTGCGTTAGTATTTAAAGTAAAAATAGGGAAATTCCAGCTACACTGAAGTTACTTCTGCCAAGAACTTGTTTTCTTTCTAATGATTTCACATGCCTGGTTTCTATGTGATCGTAATATCATAATAACTGAGACTACTGACACTGTAATTTATTTATCTATTGAAACACGGTCTCACTTAGCCCAGTCTGGCCTCGAACTCACTACGTAACTAAGGATGACCTTAAACTTTTCATCCTCTTATCGCCACCTCTCCAGTGCTGGGGTTACAGGTTAACAGGTCTGTGCCACCACAGGGCTTTCTGTATGCTGGGTAAGCAGTGTCCAAGCTAAATCTCTGCAATTTTTTTTTCTGTCTTTTTTTTAGACAGCTGTAGTCCTAGCTGGCCTGGAACTCACTATATAGGCCAGGATGGCCTCCTCACAGAGATCTGCCTGCCTCTGTCTCCTTAGTGCTGGGATTAAAGCCTTACACCACCACATCAGGCAAGAGTGAAAATATTTAAAGCAATCCACCAGCCTACTCTAAATTACTGGTTCAGCTGTACTCTGCCTGATTCTCAGGACTGATTTCTACACCACTCAATGTATTCTTCTTGAAGGCACAGAATAGGTGGGGCACTCTTGATGCAAGCCTTGAGAGGCCAGTAAAAGAATGAGTGCACCCAGCTGAGCCATTCAAAAGTGTTATGCACATTCAAATTAAAGAGAAAAATGATTTTATGGATTTTAAAGTGGCCCAAGAAGACAGACAACTGTCCTTAAAAAAAAAAAAAAAGAAAGAAAAAGAAAAAAAAGAAAATCTTTTATTGCAGGATCTTAATTTCTTGAAAAACATCCTGAAATTTCTGTAATTCTTAAAGTAGCTTAACTATTTTTTTCCTATATGGTCTAAAGGACAAATTTTCCCTACAACTTGAACTCTGTCAAGTGTTAGAATTCTCAGTGAAATCAAGTCATCATTTGAATGAAGTCCTGTGGAAACTTAAGGAGAATTTGAGGTCATTCGGTAAGAGGGAAACTCAACATAATTTTTTTTTTACATTTTATTTATTACTCTTATTTTATGTGAATGACTGTATTGCCTGCATGTATGTAAGTATACTTGTGTTGTGCAGTGTCTGTGGAGATTAGAGAGGGTGTCGGAAGCCCTGGACATGGAGTTACATTAGAAATGACTGTTAACCTCCATGTTGGTGCTGGGAATCAAACTCGGGTCCTCTGTGAGAGCAGCCAATGAGATGAGCCATCTCTGCAGCCTCCAAAATAATATTTATACATTGGGCAAATTCCAGACAAATGTATATGTATACTAATTTAGCCAAATAAGGACAATCAATATTTTAATCTAAAAAAGTGTTTTGGAACCTTAGAGTATTCAAGAATAAAATGAAGCAAAGTATTTTGAAAATATAGTCTTGGTGGAGATAATAAAGCATGGTTTTAATACCTCCTCACAGTTAAACAATACTTAAAAGTGACAGTTTTTTATATTATATTTTATTTTATTTTTACCATATTGCACAATGCTTCTGAATCAAGTCAAGCAATGCCATAAATAGTGGCTATAATTTGATGCTAAGAACTTTTTCAAAGGATCTCAGAATTCCTTAGATAAGAATTAGGGGCAGGGAATGGTGAGATGGCTCAGCAGTTAAGAGTGCTTGGTGTTTTTCCAGAAGACCCCAGTTCCCAGCACCCACATCAGGCAGCTCTTGTAATGACTGTAACTCTAGCCCAGGGGGGTCTGACACCCTCTTCTGGCCTCTATCAGTATGAATACACATGTGGCATGCAGAAAGAAAGAGAGGGAGAGAGAGAGAGAGAGAGAGAGAGAGAGAGAGAGAGAGAGAGAGAGAGAGAAACAAAATCTTAACAAAGGGGCATTTGGAATAACACCCCCCAAATCTTAACAAAGGGGCATTTGGAATAACACCCCCAAATTGAGTAGGTACTTAATAACAAATGTTTGTTGAATAATTCATGAGTAAAACTTAAATTAGAAATTTTCTTCCCCAAGACCCTTTTACTCCTTTATCTCATTCTATTTTGTTACTTTGTAAAAGTAGTGTTTCAGGGAGGTGGAGAAAACCAGTTAGAATACTCAAGAGGAGGCTGTTGGGGCATGTGGGGGGATTCGTGATGCTTCTCTCCTTCTTAAGTTTTTTTCTTTTGTTCTGTAATCTCTATTACCTCCTAAATAAATGTAACTTGTAGATTTTATGCATTGATCTTACTCCCTGGGGCTGTCATTTTAGCAATATGCTCTTAAATTTTTGGTAGGAAAAGAAACTTACCTATGGATTTATGAATAAAATACTGTCTACTGTACCTCTATTATATTCTTATATTTATAAGGGAACTAGATCCATATCATAGAAAGTTAACCTAAAATAATCAGCAGGCAGAATCTGGGACCATGACACCCTACCAGTGATGACAGTTTAGGCCCATGACACTGCTAGCTCATGATAGCTGGGGCAGGTGGGGGTGTGGTGGTGAGACTTGAATTAGTTACACATAGTGAACTAATTCCAAATTCTCTGGGTCCTTAAACCACTTTCAGTCCCTAAAAGGAGGATTTTAACTAGATGTTGCATTACATATGTGTAATCCCAGCATTCATGGGTCTGAGGCAGGAGGATCGCGAATTCTAGGCCAACTTGAGCTATATAGTCATACCCTGCCTAAAAATAAACATCATTCTGTCATGATTTAATTCCATAACTTGGGTTGCCTCTGTGACTTCACTGTAGTTTATTCAACCTGTGTTAGTTCCCTGAACACAGCTTTGATCTCTAGACTTCTGTCTGCTTTGAACATACATTTTCTTATTTACTATCATACCTTCTTACAATCTTTTATTTATTTATTTATTTTGGTCTTTTTGAGACAGGGTCTCCTTGTAGCCTCAGCTGGCCGGGAACTCACTATGTAGACCAGGCTGGCCTTGAACTCACAAAGATCCGCCTGCCTCTGCCTCCCAAGTGCTGGGATTAAAGGTGTGCCCCACCACACCCGACTCCTTCTTACAGTTTTAGTCTAAGCAGTTATCTCTTCCTTTGGGAAGACCTCCCTGGTTTCTCAGTAGAAAATCATGATATGTTTGTGTTCTATCTTCCCCACTGATTATTTTCCACTCATTCATCTAAGTATTCATGTGGGATATTCCTTAGCAAACACTATTTATGTACCAACACCTACATTATCTAAGTATCCTGATTATCCTGTTAGAACAATTTTCTAATTGTTGGTTACTTAGTTGCCTACTTTCCTCTGGACTTTTTGGTCAGAAACTTTGGTTATCTTACTCATCTCTATTTTCTTAAGAACAGAGCACATTGCCTAGTTAAAGTATGAATTAATATTCACTGTGTTTAATAGTTTTAGAAACAGTTTGGGTATGTCTTGGATGTGAGACCACAAAATATGTTGATTCTTTAGTGGCCCATGTATTTAGAGCCATTTCCTCCTAGATTATCTGTAACAGTGCCTGCAGCACATAAGGAGGCTTAAAGCAAGCCATCAAGATAAGGTACCAGCCCTAAAATCAATGATAGGCTCAATTTGAGAAAGGTTTTGGAAGCACACTCGGATTGTGGGGTACTGCTGACCTCAAGATCCAAGGTTACTGCTGTTTACTTTGGATCAAATTCATAGAAACTGCTGCTGTTCTGTTTTCATAATTCGATCTTCTGTCCTGCCATTTTTATGATGTTAACACTGGTATGTGGTAGATGTGCAGGTAAGAATGGGTTCTAAAACGATGCTATTAAGCTTTGAACTTCATCTTAACGATAAATATAATACATGTGCAACAGTTATCCTACTGGAGTATTTACATTTCAAGCTAATTCTCATTAAAGTTTTAAAACTCAGCTCTAACTAACAAAATTAATATTTATGTACAAGTACATTCCTACATCAACTAATCTTATAGTTTAAAGTAGTTGCTTTAGAATATATGGAATCTTAGCTGAAAAATACTAGATGTTTAGAGTCCCCAAACAGGGTCAGGATTGAACAAGCCCTTGACACATGACAGCATTTGTCTAAGTAAATTGTATAGTAACTTGATAGACTTCATCAGTATGAATTTGGGGCTTTTTCCCCCTAAAAACAAAAGATAGCCCAAAACATTACAGAATTCCATAAATACTTTTTAATCACTAAACATTATGTTAACTAAATTGCAACACCTTGGGGGAAATGCTAACAATATTGTGAGATGAAAAACTGGCTTCCATACTGGAGAGGTGGCTGAGCTTAGTTAAGAGCGCTGGCTGATCTTCCAGAGGACCCAGGTTTGATGTGGATCATGGTGGCTAACAACCATCCTTAACTCCAGTTCCAGGGTATCCCATGCCCTCTTCTGACCTCTGCAGGCACTGCACAACACGGGTGCACAAACACACTCATACACATAAAATAAAAATAATTTTTAAAAATTTAAAAAAATGACTTCCGGATGGAACATAAAACAAGATTCCATTCTGAAAAACAAGTATAGATCCTAATACAGAACACACGCACGGAAGAGGAACTAAAGGAACACGCATACAGGTCAGCAGTGCCCGCGCCTAGTTGTTCATACTGTGCATAACTTAATTGTATGGCCTTTGGTTCTATTTACTCAATGTCCTATTATTTGTTAAATTTATTTTTAAAGCAGCAAGCATTAATTTTGTATTATTTTATAACACAATAAATGTCATAGTAGAGGTTGTTCAGCCTGAGTGAAAATTTACTTACATCATTTTATTTTAAAAACATGTGTTTTCTTTTTTTAAATTTAAATATTTATTAGTTTTATTTTATGTGTATGAGTATTATGCCTGCATGTAAGTAAGTGCTCCCTTGTCGTGTAATGCCCACAGAAGAGAGAAGAGGCTGTCGGATCCTGGAACTGGAGTTACAGACAGTTGTTAGCTGCCATGTGGTACTGGGATTCAAACCCAGGTCTTCTGCAAGAACAGTCAGTGTTCTTAACTGCTGAGCCATCTCTCCAGCCTCAACATATGTGTTTTCTATATACCTGAAAGTCATTAGTTATTATTCATTCAGGAATGACGCATATGAGTTTTACTGAAATACATAATTTCTATCTCTTTTGTATATGGTAGAAAAATGTTCAAAAATAAAATGTGACTATATTTTTCATTTTTTTAAAAATTAGATAGTACTACAAGAAAACATTATTTTGGAGGTTTTTTGTTCTTAATTTAAGTCATAGTGCACTACCACTACCATTACCACCACTACCACCACCCCACCACACATAAGTGATATGGTACTTCTTGGTTTTGAATTCTTACCATCTTCTCTAAAGTAAAGATCTTGTTTTCAAATAAGTAGAGTGGCGTAAAGGTGGCATACACAGCCATGTGAGGGGACTGAATTGCTGAAGAACCTGGAAAACAAACATATGTTATATCATAAGCATTTGTCAGCATGAGGCTGACAGTTATCTGCTCTCTGCAGCCTTGTTTAACAGAGCCTTGTTTACATCATTTTATTTTAAAAACGTGTTTTTAAAAGAAAGAGATAGGAAGAATGGGAGAGGAAGAGAGAGTGGAAGGAGGGGGGAAGTAGAGGAGGAGGAGGAGGGAGGGGATGAGATGCAGAGAGACAGGGAGAAAGAATATGGTGTCTTTTCCTCTTTTCGTGATGATTAAACCTGAACCATTACCCTAATGGAATTATTGCCAAAACCAGTCACATAGGAGATTGGGGCTTCAACCTACTCATTCGGGGGAGACACAGTCCTTTTCATCATATTCCACCTTTTGTCCCTCTCTAAATTATATCATCTTCATAAGCACATTATTTTCACGCCACGCCACAGCACCAAGAGTTCTAACTCAATTCAGCATCAATTCCAAGTCCAAAGTCTCACTGAAATGCTTAATTCACCTATGGCTAAAACTTAAGGCCTGACTCATCCTGAGGCAAAATTTCTCCCCTGCAATTCCTGCACATCTATGAACCTGTGACAGTGGACAATGTGCTTCCAAAATACCATAGAAGACAGGCAGAGGACAGACACGCCCATTGCCAAAGGAACTAAAACAAGAAAGGAAGGAGTCCCAGGTGAATAGAAAACATTGAAAGACAAATTCCATTACATATAGGCTTGAGAATAATCCTCTTGGCTGGATTTTCAGTCTCCTGGGCGCACCATTCTCCTACAACCCAAGATGGTAGTTTTACTTCCTTGGCACTGAGCAGAGAACTAGACTGGGAACTTTTTACAATGGCTTCACCCATAAAGGTCTTTTGCAAAGAGGATCATCTGCCACTTTACAGGGAGAAAATGGCTTACTCAAACCAAGGAGGTAGACTCACCCTCTGAAACTGAGGTGGAAACAGCCTTGCTTTCTGGGTCCCCGATAAGGCTTCAGTCCTTATTACCTTTTAATCACTTTAGGCCCATGCGTCCCTGCTCGTGAAGGATAATGCATGTTCATGTTCAAAGCCGTATAGCTCTGTGGTCCTGTCCTATAGAATTCCAGACCAAGAGTCTTCCTTCAGCCCATCTTTTCTGTGTCCCCTTTGAAATGGCCTCTTTGGGGATAATGTCATTTCTCCTTCTGGTCTTTGATGACTTGACTGATTAGCTTCATGGATGACATAAATATGGGGTGATTTTCAAGCCATAGCCTTGATGTTATCTTACAGGCTTTCTCATGTTGGACTGAGGATTTTTCTAACTTGCCAGTTCTCTTTCTATTTCACAACTCCATCCATCCACCTCCCTTATTTCTTTTTACTATACATAGTAAGAAGTTAAGCCTCACCTTGAACACTGCAGAGAAACCACCTCAGGTAAATAAACACTCAATGTCATGGCTCACAGGTTCTACCCTCTACAAAACACTAGAGACCCTTCAGGCAGTCTCTATCAGTTTACAAGGATTGTCTTTCTTCCAGTTTCCAAGGACACTGTCCCCGTTACCCTTTGACCCTGCCAGCAGCACATCTTACATATATGTTCTTTCCAACAGGCCATCCAGGCTTTTTCTAGTGTACACAAAACTCTGCTAAGCATCAATGTGCCACTCAGTTCTAAAGTCATCCTTCTAATTTTTAGTATTTGTTATAGCAACATACTGTGTTATGGTGCCAATATTGGTATTAATCCAATCTAACTAGAGAAACAAAGCCAATATGAAAATAGACCTATTATTAGGAATCAGCTCACATGATTATTATAAGATGTACAGGGAAATCTGGGAGAAGCAATGGTTAGTTCCTCTCTGAAGACCAACAGGCTCCGATCTGAGTTTCAGTATGAGTCTGCAGGCACTCAAGCGAGGAGGATCAGTGTTTCATATTTAGTGTTCAACTAACTGGATAAAGTTCATTCACAGGAGAGAGGGTGAGCTGCTTCGCTCTGCCTATTGATCTGAATATTGCCATCCAAAAATCATCTTCACATGATGTTTGCCCAGATTTCTGAGTACCCAGGGGCTCAGTGAAGACACATAAAATCAACCTTCACATTAATTCTCTTCTAAATTTTTATATTAAAAATTTTAAGTATAAAAGTATTTTGATAAAAACTATATTCCGATTTTGAACTTTAGACACTGGAACTGTGGATGTCATTCCTATAAAAAACTTCTTTTCTTTTTACGTTTTGTAAGACAGGGCCTCAGATGAGCCTAAAGCTGGCCTGAAACTTGCTATGCAGCCCAGGCTGACAGTGAACTCTCTATGATCCTTCTGCATCAGCCTTCCAAACACTGAGGTTACAGGCATCTACTACAGTGCCTGGAATTCCTAAAACTTTTAAAATTTAAGTACTTAAGTTTTAGAAATTATGTACTCTGCCAAAGGGCTTTAATGTCATGCAGACTTCTAAACTCTTTACAATTAAAGGAGAGGGGTCTCACTTTAGGGTTAGGAGGTGACATTTAAAATCTCAACCTTTAAAATGGTCTTTAAAATATTCCTGCTCAAAAAGTGGAACAAAATTCTTGCAGTATTTACCCTTCTTCCACATGCTAAAACTGCCATATTAGTTACATGTGTTTTATTGCCTAGACGATTTTGCTGTATCAGTATGATTTATATGTCCCATTTTAGACGGGATGAAGTTCTTTTTGTTTCCTATAATGATATATCAGAAGCCACTGCTATAAAGTACATAAAATTACTTAAATATCACTTTTATTATTGATTTGTTCTCTGTTCAATATTTATTGCCTTCATAAATAACAAGTTCATCTTGAAATATTGATTTACCATGATATGAGCTCCAAATCATTACAAAACTACTACAAATTTCTTATACATCTGTCTTCAGGTGTGATATTTAGTCATTTTGTTAGAATGGCTTTTATTGAATGCTTCCTCTATGTTAAACGCTGTCCTCGGTATGTTACAGGAGTCGATTCTCATACAAACTCTATGAAATAAGTTCTGTGAACAACAATTTTTAGGTAGATTAAGTAATATATCCAGAAGTGTAAGGTGTAGGAAATGTAAGTGTAATGAGATGGCTGGTCTCTCTGACAATTCTTTTTTATCAACTGTTCTCTATGGTAATAGCTAAAAAGGTAGTTGGCCAGAATGCTTGTCAGGCCACTTTCCACTAAAATGTCTACAATGTGGCACACAGCTGGACAACAAAAGATTTTTTTATGCGGGGTTTAAAATACCTTAGTACACACATGTAGAAGTTGGATTTGAAATGATGCATGTGTGTATGGGTATGTTTGTCATGAAATTAGGAAGGGGGTTATGAGAGGGCAGAAAGACAGATCTTAAGAACGCGGGGAGAGAGGATAATGGAATGCAGAAATGTATATGAAAGGAGAAGGCAGGAAACCAGCCAAAGGGGGAAGCAGGGGTGGGGAAGAGAAGAGGCCAGTGAGAGGGGAGGATGAACCAAAACAAAGAACACTGACACGTGTGTCTGAAAATGCCATAGCGAAAACCATGACTTTGCATGCTAACTTTAAAAAAAAAAAAAAGAAGTTCCCTCTTTAAAAATGTCTTAGTGCAAGTGCTTTAAAGACATCATAGCCTGAGGGCCTTTGAGATGGCTCAGTGGGTAAAGGAGTTTGCCACCCAGCCTGATGAACTGAGTTTGGTCTCTGGGAACCAAATTGGGAAAGGAGAGAACTGACTCCTACAAGTTGTCCTTTGACCTCTACATGCATGCTGTGGAACATGCTTGTGCATGCACATGTGTGAGCATGCACATACACACACACAAATACATTATCCAAATATTTGTAATCTTAAAATGAAGAAAACATTGTAGTCTTCTAACCTATTTAGATTCAGTCAGTTCCATATAACAAAGAATAAGGGTGCACAGTTAATCTCTGACACAAGACAAGTAAACTGGTTAAGAAGTTGTACTGGTCAAAATTTTAAGGACATCTTAAAGTTATTTGTGGTCAAGAAATAGACTTCTTGGGCTGCAGAGATGGCTCAGTGGTTAAGAACACTGACTGTTCTTGCAGAAGACCCGGGTTCAAATCCCAGCACCCACATGGCAGCTAACAACTGTCCATAACTCCAGTTCCAGGGGATCCGACAGCTTCTTCTGTCTTCTGTGGGCATTGCACAACATGGGTGCACTTATCTGCAGGCAATACATACATACACATAAAATAAGAAAATAATAAATAAAATATTCTACTAAAAAAGAAATAGGCTTCTTGGGGCTGGAGAGATGTCTCAGCAATTAAGGGCACTGACTGCTCTTGCAGAGGACCTGGGTTCAGTTTTCAGCACCCACATGGTGGCAAACAACCCTCTGAAACTCCAGTTCCAGGAGATCCGATCCTTTTCTGACCTCTGCAGGCATTGCACGACATGGGTACATTTAAGTACAAACATGCAGACAATACACTCATAGGCATAAAATGAAAATAATAATAATTTTTAAAAATAAAGACTTCTTAATCTTGTAGTTCTTTGATCTCTGGCATTTCTCTGTTTTTTCTTGTATTTTGGAAAAACAGATACTTCTTGTCTGAGCTGAAAGCAGGTACTATAAATAAACACTGTGTACGTTAGTAGATACTCTACCACTTATTACTAAGATTTAGGATCACCAACTGCATGGCTACTTTACAAGGTGTGACAGCTTCCAGTTTTACTGGGTGTAAGGTATAGGTTTCCTTAGCCTTGGGATATTTACTTATACCCTGCTGCTATGCAGGACCCATACATTTTTTCAGCTTGCAGCTAGTACTCTGATCTTGGCAATAGTTTATATATCCTTAAGTGGTTCCAGCTGCTGGAATAAACACTAAGATATATAGAACTTGATATGTGCTGTGAGTTGCTTTTGCCTGTATATACTATGAAATGGATATTGTGGACCTACAGGCAGATTTCCACCCAGTCATTCACTGCTTCTTCCTCCTTCCACCTCTGACTCTGTCACCTTTAGCACTATGTCCTCCACTGTGCCAGGCTAACAAAAGGAAAAGTGAGCATGGGAGCATTTCATGGATCAGCTGGAGGTGGGACACACAATTCATGCTCATGTGTTATGGGTTATAGCAAAGGAACAGGCTACATTTTACTTCCAAAGATTCAGAGAAACCAAAGCATAACTGTGCTCTTGGGGAGAAGGAGGAAATTATGAAAGCTGGAAATATTCTCACACTCATAAAATAGCCACCTTATGGTTCCACCAAGTCATGCTCTAGTCTTACTGACTTTTGCTCCTTTGCAACACATTTTAAAACTGCTACTAAGTTGAAAATTCTAAGTTATTCTGTAGTTAGTAAGTTTAGGTCAAAATTCAAATCTCTAATATTTCTGATCACTTTTTTTTCTCAGCTATTAGAAGAGTCTGATTTATTCATACTTCTAAAAGCTAGGTGCTTTTAATTAATGTCACAATTCGAATCCAAGTTTATTTTTAAGTTACCTTTTAAATTTAGTTGTTTGGAAAATAAATTTAAATTTTGTAATACCAAGAATATTGAGGGGAAGTATAAGACAGTAATCAACAGAGTGAATTCTGAAGACCAACTTCCTGGTTTCATAAACTACCCACTATCTACTCTTTTGGAGTTGTTTCTAGAGATCACAGCCCATGCAAATGGGCCTCCCATGGGCTGGGACAAAGGTCTGCACACCCGAGGCTCTCTCAGAGTAATTTTACAATTGGTAATGACCAGCGATTATAGTGCGTGATTTGTTTCCTTTTAGGAATAGGAACTTATGTGGCACATACTCTGTCTTCAAGGTTTCATGAGCAATTATGTGTGGGTGTGCGCATGTGTGTGCATGCACACGTCTTAGAGATCTTGGAATCTGAACTAGATATACTTACTAGATAGTAGTTTGGGTCATGATTCAAAACTGGCTATCCCCCACCAGAGGGAGCCCTCTTTCTCTGAAACACACAGCTAGACTATAGTTCCCAACTTAGTTAGCTGTGGCTGTGGACTCCAGGTGTCATGGAGAATGAACAGAAATGAAGCACATACAGTCAATTTGGTCCTTAAAAATTTTGCAGCTGCAAACCACCCCCACCTGTTTTCCTGTCTACTGGTATAGAACTTGAGAATTCACACAGATAAAGGTGTCTAGGATGAAGGGGGCATGATTCTCTTAAAAGATATTCAGAAGAGTTCCTGACAATCATAAATACTAATCTTAGATTTCATATAATTGGGAAAAAAGAAATTTACACTTACTTTGAAAATAACAAAATAGAGAGAGGAAAAAAAACCTTAAATATATACTACTAGATTATTAGTAGATATTATAGAAATGTAAATATATTCATATACATGAAAAATATGCTTAAATATAGATATAACTTCTGTTACTTTATCTCTTTATGGAATGTTAAAACTGCGAATGTCATTTTATTCTAGTGGCAGCTGTGATACTACATTCAGAAAGTTAATAAAACATAGATCTTTTATAATAAGTTGTCCATGTCTTTCAGAGCTGCTATAACATATTTTAATGACAAATCAGATACAAATAAATCATGTCATTTTTTCATAGAAGTTTGAACTGCAAAGCAGTTATCTTTTAAGTCTATTAGGGTCCATTCATAACCTATTATAAATAAAACTAATGCAGCCAATGGCGAGAAATAGATGTTCAAAATCTACCTCAATTTAAATGCATGGAGAAAGGTGATCCACGTGGGCACTCTCTTTTACTTATGGCAGATGAAATAAATCCTGAGAGTTCATTCTATCATGGTGTTTTATCCTAAGCATATTTAAAAATTAACAAAATATTCATCTATAAGTACTCAAGAATATGGCACCAAGAGGTTCATTATTTGAACTTTAGTTCTTTTAAAATATTTTTTATGTGTATGAGTACACATACATGTATTGCCTACATGTATGTTAGTGCACCTGAGTTGTGCAGTGTTCTTGGAGGTCAGAAGAGGGCATCAGATTTCCTGGAACTGAAGTTAGACAGTGGTTAACCACCATGTGGGTGCTGTGAACCGAACCCAGGTCTTCTGCAAGAGAAGCTAGTGCTGTTAACTGCTGAGCCATCTCTCCAGTCCCTGGACTTCAATTCTTAATTCTGAGAGGAACTCAGATGCTGTGATGGTGGTGTATGGAGAGGGGCCCTGATTTCCAAGAGGTGGGATTGCTTGCTGGATATTCATAGGCTTAGTGCTGAAGCAGAGATCTGACTTCAGGACCCAGAGTCTAAACCCAAGTCATTCCATATACTGAGACTGATCTTAATCATGAAGAACCAAAATGTATCATTATCTTTATTTTCACAAAGAAACAAAAGCAAGGGGCAAAGTTTAGACCATTTTTCAAAGATAAAACATCATCAGAATCTGTGCTGATGTGACATTGCCCACGATTAGATACATGCTGCTTAAGGCATCAACACAAGAAAGCAATTTTTAATATGGAATCAAAACTACAGTAATTAGTGACTTTTCCACATCCCTAGATGTGTTTCAGGAAATAAAAACAATCTGAGGCCGTAATTGCTCCTGATGTATCTTCATATCAATCATCATAATATAGTAAGAAAGAAGACAAAATGAAAACAGACCAGATAATTCACAATGGCAGAGGTAAATGGACATGTTTTCCCCATGCAATGACAGATGAGCTGAACTCTGTCGCCAACATTCTTGCAGCACTGTGACAGATGACCCAACGTGACACTATAACATTTCAGAAGAGTTATTTCAACATTCCTCTTGATTAGTCTGACATATACAGTATCCATCTAAACATATACAGTACATGTTTAATATATGTATTACATATTAAAATGAACTAAAAAAATTGCTCTGCAATGTAATGCTAAGTAATAGTGATAGAAACCTGGGCGTTTTCATAAAAAGCCATGACCATTATGGAACGGGATTACGTAAATAGATCTTCTACGCTTATCCAGTCAGTGATGCACAAAAAAAGTTGTATGTCAGGACTATGGTATAAACAGTAACTGTGTCTAGAGTCTCTTGCTTTATATTGTTATAAACAATAAAATAAGTAGCATCCCAGTGTGACTGATCACATCCCAGAAGACTGTGTTCAGTCTTCTGTCTGGCTTGCTGGCTGGCAATGGATACTCATAAGCAACTGAATTTATATGAATTTGGGTGAAAAATTCGAACTCTGTGAATTTTTCTGAGAAATATATGAAAATGGATAATAGCAGCTTTCTATGTTGTTGCACAACACAAACACAAACCCATCAATTATGCTGAGGACCCAATGTTTGTGGGAAATCTTGAATATGCTTACTCAGAGATTTCAAAAGAGAAAATGTACTTCTACATTCCAACATCTTTCCAGCAGTTTAGGTAACAACTAGGATAGTTACTGAAGAGACTGAGCGCTTACAATCTGATAGGGACTGCATAGAGTACTGTACATCTGATGAGGGTCTCGAACCATGGAGTGAAAATTTGAATCTTTCCTTCTCCTTGTCCTTTTCTCCATCTTTATTCTTCTTCTTCCCAAGGTCTTTTGCATCTGCTTTCTCCAACACATTAAAAAAAATGATAAATCTTTTAACTAATCAACCTCAAACTATGCTACATATCAGCAATTGTGTTGTAAGAAGGCCAGAACAATAGTATTATTTAAATGTTAATGTGTATCCTTAATTTCCCCCAAAATATCATCTCCTCCAGTTAGAAACATCACAATAAAACTAAAGGAAAAAAAATCTGAAAATTAAGATGTACTGTGAAAACTAAGCAGGATTAGTTATTATTACAGATAATAACTAAATCAAAATATATTGTTAAATGTTTCATGGAGATAATTTTTTTAATATGTTTGCATGTGCATGAATGTGCATGGTATACATGCATGTGTGTGTATGGGAGCATATACCAATACCATGAGGTGCAGAGACCAGAGGAGGATGTTGAGTGTTTCATCCTTTCAGTCTTCACCTTATTTCCTTGAGACAGGGTCTCCCACTGACCCTGGAGCTTGCTTTTTTGGCTATTCAGCTAGTGAGTCCCAGAGATCCTCCTGTTTGCCCCCCACAGCTCTGGGTTACAAAAAGCCAACCACAGCAGCTTTTACGTGGGTACTGGGGATCAGAACTCAGGTCCTTATGGCTGTGCAATAAGTGCTCTTATTCATGGAGATAGCTCCCCAGTCCCTTGTGTATTTTATTTATATGCAATCATGCCAAGCTAATTGTCTCATTTTAAAAATGAAACAGAAAAGAGTAAAGCATGTGTTAAAAGTTGAGTCCTATCTAGATGGAACCTTCTAAGATCTTTCTTACTCAGGGTCTTCCTCAAAGCAAACTACCATTTTTTTCCCCAAAACTTCCCTTTGTGGGACTGAAATCCAACTACACTCACAAACCAGCCTTGTTTTTCTGTCAAGGCTTATGCAAGAAAAATCGTCTCTCTAGAACTGACCTCATCATTTGAATCCTCATTTATATACACATTATATGAAAGACGTTCTCTTAATTAAAACAAATCCTCCAGGATTTTCTTCTTCCTGTTGCTTGCATCACTTATTTTTTTTAGAGATTTGCAACAATAAAAAGTCTGACCTCAACTAGTTTTAACATTTTTTAGCATCAAAAATCAGCCTGTTCAGAGTATTTGTAGATTTAAAATATGTCCTATAGAAAAGCAAAGATAAAAGTATAGACTGAGATGTCTCATTGAGAAATGTAAGTATGAAAAACTAGTTAACAATGATTAATTTGTATAATTATTAATTTAATTCAATTAAATTAATTTTGGTTAGCAATATGTGGTTTCATTTATAATTTTGAAACAATTTTGTCTTCAAATAAACATTTAAAATTTGATTTATAAATAATATATCCTACAAAAAATTAGGCTATTGAATTTGGCAATGTGTATGGCATATAAGTATTTTTTTATTTGTTTATTTATTTTATGTGTATTGATGTTATGCCTGCATGTTTGTAAGTGCATCTGTGTCCTACAATGCCTGCAGAGGCCAGAAGAAGGCATCGAATCCCCTAGAACTGGACTTACAGATGATTGTTAGCTGCCATGTGAGTGCTGGGAACCAAACCCAGGTCCTCTGCAAGAGCAGCCAGTACTCTTGATTCCCAATATAGCTATTGATCTGTCATTTAATTTAATGTTTTTTTTGTAAAATTTCACTCTAAACAAACTTGACAATCAAGTCATACTGGCAATTCTTCTTCCCTATAAACCTCACCACATCGTTTTAAAATTTCTACGAGTCTGCCTTTCTATCTCAACCTCACTCTCAGGTCATGGCTACACTGCCTATAAACAGAGAACATATGAATCTGTTGTCAGAAATCCTCAACCTCTTCCCAACCAAATGTTTCTACTTACCTACACCTGTTCCCATTCATCCCAGGGCTCCATGGCCCATGTCCACCCATTAGAATGGAGGATCCATTGTTCTCCAGGACTGGGTCAATCCCTCCAGTGGACTGTGAATCTTGCTCTTCTTACCTTCTCAGAAAACAAACACTATTGCTCTCCTTAAAGCTGGACAATCTTCCCAATCACCCCTTAGAACTGTTGAGTTCTCCTTTCCTAGATTAACAAATACGTGTTCTGCCTGTATCCCACATTAATCATAGTCAGCTTCCAGTTTATTACTGTGCTGCACTTCAGGGCCAATTTCTTATAGGGTTGACCATACATTATATTTCTTCCTTCTTAACTTCTTAACTCTCTTCTATAAACTTTCCACATTTACCACTCTCCAGTATCTGCTGACCTCCATATACAACCCTCTAATGAAGAGATTGAAGTTCCCATGACAGTTTATCTCTTTACAATATTTCATACACTCTTTCTTATTCCTGAACGAATCTTTTCTCCTTGACTCAGGTTCATTCTCTGTTTCTATTGTCAGTCTGTGCTGTCTCTTTGAGAATGTCACCGTGTACCTGCCGATATCTCCCCAAAGCATGTTGCCAGTCTGAGACTTTTGATATGAAAAACTCACTTGATTGTCTTCAAGACACTTCAGATTCAATATGGTCAAAAATCATTCTCTGATCACTCCTGGTAGATATCGCCCTCTGTCTAGTTTTGCAACTCAGAATTTCATAAATTATCTAAATGAAGTTCTGCCACTTTTTAGATTTTTCTCGTCAGTCATCTTATGGGTCTCTCCACTGAGACCTGCACATCATTCCCTATTCCAAAACACTGTCCTCTCTAACGTGAGTTGATTTGACAGTCGCCAAACTGGTTTTTCTACATCTGCCCACAATTTCCTGTCTGATTCCCTCCAGCCAGGCACCCCAAAATTCTCTCCTTAGCAATGTCAAAGCCATCTTTTGAAAAAGAAATTCAGATCTTGCTTTCGATTTAAATTCTTCATTTCCTGTCAGTAACAATGAAGATCAGTAATCCCAAAATGACCCTGAAGGTCCAGTCACTCCCTCTTCCTTCAGGCTCCTCTCAACCAGATGTACTTTTTCTCCTCCCCTTCAGCTCAACACACCTCACATCCTGCCCACAGTACACCGCCACCGCTCGATCATCTCCTAACTCTCTACCTGCTGTTCCCTTGGTGTTCTCTCCACAGTCTGCTCCTTCCTCTAGGTAATTTCCAGTCATCTTTGCAAACAAGAGCAGGCTCCCATACTACTGGCCACAGCTTCCTGTATTTCCCTTCACAGCTCATATTTGAGTGTGTGGTTACACATTTTCACATTATTAATCAGCGTTTCCCACTAGACCTTAAGGTCCAGAAGGTGGGTTGTTTCACATCTGTTTCTATTTACCAAACTGATCACCAATTCCTTGAAAACTGTCCTTACCTTTTCTCAGCAAAAAGCACATTTGGGTGAATATCAATGGCTCGATGCCTGGATGCTAATTTGTGAGACATGAAAAAGGGCTTCTAGAAGAAAACTATTAATAAAACTGAAAAAGGAATCCACTCATATTTATTTTTCAAGATGGTCCTGTGTAGGCAGACATTGCTCATACATTTGATGGTGATATATTGTTGCAAAAGATCTAAAGTAAAACTTTCTGTATAATACATGGTGGGAAATACTGGCAGATATGATTTTTTATTATTTTTCCTTTTTAGAGTTTGGGATCAAACTTAAGACCTTGCCTCTGCAGGGCAAGTACTGTTACACTGAGCTATAAATCCAGCCCTTGCATTCTTAAAACAGAGTCTCACTATGTAGCTCAGGCTGGCCTGGAATTTGTGATCCTCTGGTCTCTGTCCCCAGTCATAAACCATAAATGTTTGAAGGCTTATTTTAGATACCCCCAAGGCATACAGAGAAATTTAGTAGATTCAATTTTATGTTACAAGTATTTTGTTCATTTACATAACTATAAAATATTTATGTGGATACAGATTATTTAGTAAATTATGTAGTCAAAATTTCATCTTGAGAACTGAAATAATTATACACTTTGTAAAATAATTTGAATTTTCCCTCAGATTTGAAACTGTACCTTAGACTAATGTTTAGAGAATCATACTGTAATTCATGTTCATATCACATTCTCTGAAAACTACAAGATATGTCTTTTACTTTGTTGCTTTCATCCAACCCACTCTGCATATAAATATGAAAGAGATATCTTAATAGAGGCTTTGACTTCAGTGTCTCTTCCTATGCTAACACTGTAATGATTTAATACCATCAAAGTCGAGAATTGCCTTTGATTTGCAAAGAAAGCAAGGTATATGATAATAATCACATATAGTCAGCACCACTATCAGTGATAAAGTCCAAAGAAGGAAAAAAAATTCAAAATCCCATAGCTGTTTTGAAAGACATAAGGAAAGGTAGCATTATTACCCTCAACAGGGGCTGTCAAGCATCTACATGCAACGTGCATGTTGGATAACTTCTTGCGGTGAATTGTCTTACCCTTTGGAAGTTTATCGCTTTTCTCTGGAACCTTCAAGGTTGTTAAGGAAGTTTCGGCTTTGAAATCCTTCAAGTCCTTCCCTTCCTTTCTGTCTTTCATCTCTTTTCCAGCTTCTTTCAGTTTGTTGTCTAGCACTGCTATTTTGCTCTCAGAGCTGAGCTCTTCTGTTAGCTTAAACTCAGGCAGTATGTCTTTTAAGAGTTCCCAAATTCTATCAGTATACCCTGGGCTTAAAGAGAAGACATTGACATTAATTTCCAAATGATGTTTTTCTACTTGACATCCAGAAATTATTGATAGACTAATTATGCTTGCTCTTGCATAACTAAATCCAACTATTATATCAAATTTTAATTTAAAAACTATTATACATTTATTCATTGAACATGTTTTTATTTAGTACCTGCAATGTGCCAGGCTTTGCAGATACAAAGAAAACTAAACCTTGAATAATTCAGGCTGGCGGGAGACAGACATGTTAAAACCATGACTGGGAAATGTGTGTGTGTGTGTGTGTGTGTGTGTGTGTGTGTGTGTGTGTTTGAGCAAACACTGAAGGGCTAGTTCCCCTGCAAAAATCCTCGAGGGATGTGGCTTCCCTGGGGAAGGGGTCTGTTATTGTCTTTTACCTGCTCCCTGAGCTTCTATAATAGAACTTTTTCTCTGTTTTGACTGTCATTACAGAATTTACTCTCTGACAATTTTAACATCTTTTTTTCATTTATTTAATATGTATGACTGTTTTGCAAACATTTAAGTATATCCAAGTCATGCAATGCCCATGAAAGCCAGAAGAGGGCATTAGATTCCCCAGAACTGAAGTTACGGATGTTACTAGCCACCAATTGGGTGCTAGGAACCAAGGCCATGCCCTCCACAAGAGAGGCTAGTGCTTTTAATCATGCATGGCCACAGGCCAATCCAATGGGGTCAATTCCCCAATTGAGGCTCCCTCAGTTCAGGAGTGTCAAGTTGACACTAAAGCTACCCAGCACAACTAAGCACTCAAGCCCCCCAACAAAAAGTCAAGCCTTTAAATAAAAAATTTCAACACAATGTCCCTCTGACTCCTGTTGATGCATAGTCAAGGTTGTTTCCTCTATAGAAGTCTCTAGAAAGTCCCTCTGCTATACTTCTCTAGGCCTGCCACTTGCTATACTGATTTGAGTCACCTAGTGAAATCACAAATCTGACAGTCCCCAATGACATCCTTTTCCTCTAAGAATACTGAATTTTTTAACATGATATCAAAGGCTTATTCCATCAGACTCCTGTTTCCCTCCACCCTCTGGCCTATTGGTTCTTTTGGAATTCACTAGCACACAATCCCATTTTATTGAACCACATGCTTTTCTGGAGTTTTACTCTGTCTGTCCCACTTCCTCTCTGTTTTGTCTGCTCTGATTTGGTTTTCCCACATTAATCAGCTTATCCTTTGAAGTCAGCACAAGCATCATTTCAGGGGCAAGAAAGCTGTAAGCTTCTGCTTTGAGATCCCAAAGAATCATTTGCACACTGTTAGTATAGTCTTTGGAAATATATTCTAGATTACTAATTCAGCACACATGTATTGAGAACATACTCTATGACAGTTATTCAAAATTACTGTGCTAAGCATATCAGGCAAAGGTTAACCACTGAAGACAACGTGGACTGTATGGGTCTGGAGACGACAGAGTGATCTACAGAGCAAACCGTAGTAATCAGCCGTCTCAGGACATCTATTTGCCTTCCCACAGTTGCCACACGTAGGGACTCAGTCTTTTTCATTTGTCTTGCCTCTTCTCTAACAATGCACTGTTCTATGTTGAAGATGCTATAGAAGCTTAAATTCAGAATTACCTCTTTGAGAACTCGAGTATCTCCCATGTATTTGTGAAATACACATGTCAAAAAGCCATGCTTCTAACAGAAAGGGAGGGGATGAGCTTTGAGCACAGGGCTGACAAGGTCTGTTAAGGCATGGGGCATGCTCTGTTGAATGTAGAGTTGCTATGACACACTGCAGGAGGGTATGAAATCCAGGCCTGTGCAGTGTATGAAGATGCTCCTAACTGAGCAATGCTGTACAGTTGCCATGTGCTTCCAACTTGGGCATCTGAGCCTTGCTTGCATTGTGAATTATATTGCTAGGTCCAGAATGGAAGAAAACCTTGTCTGGAGGATGTAGTAGACTTGCCTTGTGTATTCTAGGTACATAAGCCACACAGGCATGTACGTACAAGCAGATTTTACTTCTGTTTGTTTGCTTGTTTTATAATTGATCTGTCTTTCATCAATTTCAACAAAGAACCTAGTGGGTTATTCTTTTTAAGGAAGAAAAATTTACACTAAAATTCTAGAGAAATTTAAATATAAAATAAATTTAAATTTAAATAAAATGCTGTTCTCCCAAACTCTTTTTACAACGACCATCCTTGAAATTTTCTTGAAGAACATCTCAAAGAAACGTTGAAAAGAAAGAAAAAATAATACGAACAACCTAAACCTCTTCTTTAAACCTAATGAAGAGGAGCCAGGGAGATGGCTCAGCAGGTAAAAGATGCTTGATTCTAAATCTTGATCATCTGAATCAGATCCCTGAAATCCATGCAGTAGAAGGGGTCAGTGAACTCTTATGAGTTGTCCTTGTGATACACCCATCCCAACATAAATAAATGCTTAAAAACAAAACCTACTGAACAGGAATGACTTCAGGTAACCACCCTGTGAGCGCATGGATAACCGTGAATTCTCCCAGCTCTCTCCTCTGTGCTATATGGATGCTAAAAAGGAAATGCACAATGCTTTAGTTATTAACATTCAGAAATGTAGCAATAAACAAGGACTAGGAATCACTCTGCATACCAACCTAGTAATTAATGCAGGGGATCATAATGATTGATCAGAGAGCAATGTAGGGGAGCATGCTGAGAGAATGCTGCCTCAGTATCCAGATGCTTTAGTTTGTTACAAACACTGAAATAGATCCAATACTAAAGTTTCAAATGTATTTTAAAAGCATGCATATATGCTTCTTTTATTTTTATCTACTTTTCTTTTGAAAAAGGCTCTCATATTTATTATAAGCTATATCTTTAAAAGGTCTAAAGTTAACATTAATTTTATATACATAAAGCATTCATATTACATATTTAAAAATGTCCAGCAAAGAGCAAATCATTTAGATGTTGTTCTGGACAGCTTCAGTTGTCCACTTGACACACCTGGGAGGAAGGAACTTCAGCTGAGGCATTGTCTCCATTGGATTGGCCTGTGTCTGTGTCTGTGAAGGATTTTCTTCATTGCTGGCTCATATGGGAGGGCCCAGCCCATTGTGAGCAGTGCCACCCCTGGGCAGGTGGTCCTGGGTTGTATAAGAAAGCAGGATGAGGGGGCTGGAGAGATGGCTCAGTGATTCAGAACACTTTCTTACAGAAGACCTGGGTTCAAATCCCAGCACCCACATGACAGCTGACATCTGTCTGTAACTCCAGTTCCAGGGGATCCAACAGCTTCTTCTGTCCTCCACAGGCATTGCACGACACAGGTACACTTACCTACATCATGGGTACACTTACCTACATGCAGGCAATACACACATACACAAAATAAAAATAATAAATAAAATATTTAAAAAAAGAAAGCAGGCTGAGCACAGGCCAGAGGAGCAAGCCGGTAAGCAGTATTCCTCCTTGATCTGTGCTTCAGTGTTCCTGCCTCCAGGTTCATGTCCTGACTTCCCTCAGTGATGATCTATGATCTGGGAGTTGGGAGTTGAAATAAACCCTTTCCTCCCGCAAGTTGGCTTTGGTCATAGTGTTTTATCACAGCAATAGAAAAGCAAACTAGCACATATATTCGATATGTGATTGGTTCTTTTTGGAAGCCAACCAAAGTCTTTCACTGTTCCAATTTCAGCAATTTTTTCAAGATGCCCATGAGGCTGTGTGTTCAGTCTCTTCCATTGCAGTTTAAGATGAGCCAGGAATCCTCAGTGAAACTCTTAAACAACTGTGGAGAAACCAGAAATAGCTGGTCCACCCTGTAAAAGGGTAGACTGCCAGCATGACATAAAGTCAGAGGTTGTGCTTAACTAAACACAACTGCCTGGCTTTGGACCATGTCAGCTTCTCTATGGTAGTCAGCGTACTTGCATGTACATCAGTCTATGTACGGAAATTCCATGGCTCGCTTCCATCCCAGAGTGATGGCACACTCTAGGTAGTGTCAGGGCTGGTGCCAATGGCACTGACTGACAAACATACAACACAAGTGTCCTTTTCTTCTAAAGAAGCCATACCATGTCAGTCATGTAGCCCATTGTTAATGAATTTGTACTGGCTTAATTCTTATGTCTGGAATTCTTATGGATTATGAATTCTTATGTCTCCATAGTTTTCAAGGACAATACAAACCTGCTGATGTAGTTCATACTCTAGCCTGAACTCCTGATAATTCCATTTTATGAGTGTCTTTGCAAACCTTATAGAAATATTGCTCTTTTTTTCCATATTTCACAATGATATTTATGTAACTACTATATATCATGTTTCTTTGTAGAAAGCTAAGCCTCACATATAAAATCAAATCTGAGATGAATTTATAGAAAAATATAAATGGTATCATGTAGGGCAAGTTTCCATTGGAAATAAGAAATACATTATTATGCTATACTTTGCTTAGTCTTTTATTTTCAAGCTGGCTTTGCCTAGTCACTTGTTTTTAAGGAATAATGCTTTCACTCACGTTAGTAAATTCTACTGAACTCTGGCTTTAAGAAAGATGAACACTGCTCCAGGTATCCAGGTCATCTAACTCAATGCTTCACTAGTTTTGCAGCTCAGTTAAGAACATTTATAGCATTATACTTATTTTTTTCCTAAATAAACAAACATAGCTGTTACCATTGGGATGACATAATAGTATTCAGCTACCTAAAAAGTAAAAATAAAAAACCCAGGATAAAGTTTTACAAAAATCACCAGGGCTGAAAGCTGGTGAAACAAATTCTCAGTAGAAATTGAGGGTTATAACCGGGTGAGGTGGCGCATGCCTGTAGTCCCAGCACTCGGGAGACAGAGGCAGGTGGATCTCTGTGAGATCAAGGCCTGCCTGGTCTACATAGTGAGTTCCAGGCCAGCTGAGGCTGCAGGGAGACCCTATCTCAAAAACAAAACAAAACAAACAACAACAACAACAACAACAAAAAAGAAATCGAGGGTTAGAAGAGACAAGAGATGTGAGGAGGGTGGCAGGGCAGAGGCTGTTTTGCTGTGTAGCCTTGGGAGAGAAAAAGAAGCTGAGCCAAAAGCATATCCACAGAGCGGAGGGGCTGAGATTGGAGCACAGGGCTGACAGGGTCTGGTAAGGCATGGGGATGTACTCTATGGAATGTGGAGCTGCTCTGATGCACTGCAGGAGGGTATGAAATCCAGGCCTGTGTAGTATGTGAGGACACTCCCACTGAGCAATTCTCAACAGTTGCCATGAGCTTCCAACTCCGGCATCTGAGACTTGTTTACATGCTGAGTCATGTTGCTAGGACCAGAAGGGAAGAAAACCTTGTCCTATAGGAGTTAGTAGGCTTGTCTGGTATATTCTGAGTGCATATGTCATTCAGGCATATAAACACAAGCAGATTTTGCAAACACTGAAATAAATGAATAGTTTTTACCATGAATGTATCAAGTGGTCAATATCACCAAAAGCATGAAGCACTGCCATCATTCTGATCAAGGCCTGCCTGGTCTACATAGTGAGTTCCAGGCCAGCTGAGGCTGCAGGGAGACCCTATCTCAAAAACAAAACAAAACAAACAACAACAACAACAACAACAAAAAAGAAATCGAGGGTTAGAAGAGACAAGAGATGTGAGGAGGGTGGCAGGGCAGAGGCTGTTTTGCTGTGTAGCCTTGGGAGAGAAAAAGAAGCTGAGCCAAAAGCATATCCACAGAGCGGAGGGGCTGAGATTGGAGCACAGGGCTGACAGGGTCTGGTAAGGCATGGGGATGTACTCTATGGAATGTGGAGCTGCTCTGATGCACTGCAGGAGGGTATGAAATCCAGGCCTGTGTAGTATGTGAGGACACTCCCACTGAGCAATTCTCAACAGTTGCCATGAGCTTCCAACTCCGGCATCTGAGACTTGTTTACATGCTGAGTCATGTTGCTAGGACCAGAAGGGAAGAAAACCTTGTCCTATAGGAGTTAGTAGGCTTGTCTGGTATATTCTGAGTGCATATGTCATTCAGGCATATAAACACAAGCAGATTTTGCAAACACTGAAATAAATGAATAGTTTTTACCATGAATGTATCAAGTGGTCAATATCACCAAAAGCATGAAGCACTGCCATCATTCTGAAGAGTCCAGGCCTTTTTCAGTTTTATACATTGTTGCTACCTATACAGATTCTAAAATTTTAAGTGGATCTTAGTGTACACCATTCAGTATTTAAATGATTTAACATTTTCTCCTAAAAATCAATTCATCTCTGATGTATTTTCTATGATCCACTTTCTACTCCTAGCAAGAAAGTATTGGTTATGCAATAATTTTTAAGTATTTTAAAATTAAGGAATAATTTTGTCTTTTAGTTGGTTAACCCAATACTCAAATTAGTGGCTTTGGCACATTAATTTTCATACTTAAAGATTTACATGTTTGGAAGGAAAGATTCCTTTGAATTAATTTTTAAAATAAAGACAGTCAGCATGGATCTATAGTTGCTGTTGTTTGCTGTTTTGTTTTCACACAAATGAGTGATAATTTGTCACTACATACTCAATGTTTGCCAGCTTAATGATAGCTTTTGACAGGAGCATTGGCCAGAGTTCAATGCCATAGGTTGTAGCTGGAAGCAACATATTATTATCTTCATCAAACGGCAGGAAGTCATCAATAGTTATTTTTCTCCAGCAACCCTAAAAGTAAGAAGAAAAAATTATACTGTCATCAATGATTTATAGTGTCTTTTTGCAAACATCTTTGCACATTTCCATTTACTTAAAAAACTTATTTTAACATCTTATGTTTGGAAACTGAGATAGGGTTGTCAGACTAATATGTTTTAAATGTTTTACCTTCTGAAATATAATATTACTATAGCATACTTATAGTGATATAAATATTGTTCCTTCTGTCTGAGCTCTTATGCAACATTATGGAGTAAATTAATATGTTTCAAATAGCATATTTAAAATATTGTACAACCAGGGCTAGAGAGATAGCTCAGCAGTTAAGAACACTGGTTATTCTTGCAGAAGACCCAGGTTTGGATCCCAGCACCCACATGGCAGTTAACAACTGTCCATAACTCCAGTTCCAGGGGATCTGACAGTCTCTTCTGTCCTCCGAGGGCACTGCACAACACGGTTGCACTTACCTACATGCAGGCAATACACACATACACATAAAATAAAAATAATAAAATATTAAAAAAAACATTGTGTAACCAAATATAAGACTGAACATAATATATTTTACATGGTCATAATACAAAGTCTTCAAATGTAGCTTTAATAATTACTGGTTATCCAGATATATGCTTACTGATCTTATACTTTCAGTTCCCATATTTTGATTACTCTTAATTAAAGATCTAATTTTCAACATGAAGTGAATTAATAGTTTATTTAATAAAATCTTTATATATTTACCTAAAAGCATTTTACCTTGTGATTAAAAGTGTGAAGCAAATGACATATTAATAATTGTGATCTCAAGTGATCAAAAATTTTTTGTCTTTGTTTTACACACCAGGTTTTATTATGAATTCATTCTTTTGTCCACAAGTATTTTCAGTGGTAGCATCAAGCAAGGTGGACCCCATAATATTAGTGATGTGTGGGTAGGTCTGTTCCCATTAATTACTTAAAGTCCAGTGGGGGAAGACACATATATAAACAACGTAGAATGTAGTATGCTCGAAATGCTCTAAAACCAGAGGGAAAATATGATTCATTCTATTGAAGAAAAAACATGAGAAAGTGATACTGGGAATATTCTTTGCATGATACTTGTGACTTGCCTTGTATACTAGATCTTTGTGGGTCTCTTATCTTCCAAAGTAGATGATATGGTGCAATATAGGGATAAAGCCGCAGGTTAAAAGTAGCCCACCTTTAGAATTTCACGTGAAATGACAACAACAAATGTACAGAGAAATAAGCACCCAAAGGCAAACATACTATGATGGTTAGTTTTCATTGCCAACTGGATGCAACTTAGAGTCACCTGGGAAAAGTCTCAGTGGGGAGTTTCCTCAAACAGGCGGCCTGTGGGCATGTCTGTGAGGGACTGTTTCTTAATTGTGTTAATTGAGGTGGGAAGACTGAGCCTGAAATCAGGCAGCACCTTTCACTGGGTTTGGGCCCGGGACTGTGTAAGAATAAAGGCAGCTCGCTGAGCTGTGAGCATTAATACATGTATTTCTCTCAGCTCTTGACTGTAGATGTGATGTATAGCTGCTTTGGGTGTCTGCCTTGATTTCCTTGAAATGAGTACAGTAACCTGGACTTGTAAGCCAAATAAATCCTTTCTCCCCTAAGTTGCTTTTTGTCAGGCTATTTTATCAAAGCAACAGAAATGAAACTAGGATAGTCACGGAGGAAAGATAGAGGTTACCAGGGGACAGGGAGAGGAGAGAATGGGGAATTATCATTTACTGAGTACAAAATTTATGCTTGGGGTCATGGGAAATTCTGGAAATACATAGTGACAGTAGTTTCAGAAATCGTGAAAATACTTAATGCAGCTTAATCTTGCTCTTAAATAGCTAAAATACTAAGTGTCAAATTTTGACATATTTTGCCACAATAAAAAAATAGAAATAAGAGTTTCCTTCCTACACAAAACTTGTTTGTGTGCCTGTGTTTGGAAGTGCCAGAACTGCTTCCCATGAAGAAAAATTTTAAGATACCCTCAGTAGTTAAGCCAACCCAGTTCATCAAGTATTACCTCTCTTCAAATGATCAAAGACAATGTTTTGCAACTAAGAATGCTTTCATTACTGATCTGTAAATGTTAAATAAATGGATTTTCTGGTACATTGATTGTACTTTTTAAAATCTAGTACATAAAAAGTCTGTTATTCAGGAGTGGATATTCAATATTATGTGTATTTCTAAAGTATAATTTGACTAGACTTGTAAACATCATTATGAGAATATTTTGATTTATTGATATTATACATTGGTTGAATCCTTCCTTACAATTTATAAAGAAATAAATTATTTTATGTTATTATGTACACATATGCAATTTCCATAGACTGTTATTTTGCCTTCTAAGATCGTCTGTTGAAATATTAGTACCCACATGTTAGTATTGGAAGATGGGGCCTTTGAGAGATGATTATGTCAAACGTAGAGTCTTCATGAAAGGATGTGTATAATCACAAAGGGCAAAAGATCTGAGAAGTTCCAGTGAGATGAGGGCAAACCATCACGAACTAGGACAACAAATCAGCTGGTGACTTGGACTTCCAGCAATGTCTGTTGTTTTTAAGTTACCCAGTAATAAAGTATTTTAGCCCTTATGACAGCAGTTTACATGAATGTATGTGTATGTAGGCAATTTAAGACCTCATCATTTAATCCTAAATTATTTTGCATTCAATATTTTATTACTTTATTTAAATCATATATTGCACTTTGAAAATGTTTTAGTATCATATGATTTTTTTTAATTTCTCAAACTGCTTAATTAAAAAACTTTGGTTCATTTACTTTTATGTGTCTGAGTATTTCCTCTGGATATAAGTGCACCATATACAGGCAATGCTTAGGGATGCCAGAGAGGGTGTTGGATCACCTGGAATTGGAGCTACAGACATTTGCTAGCTACCATGTGAGTGCTTAGAATTGAACCCAGGTGCTCTGCAAGAAAAGCCAATGCTCTTAACCCACTGAGCCATTTCTCTAGTCCCCAGTGTTCTTGATTATTAAGCGTGTCTTTAAAGAGGTAGCTTTCTAAGAGACTAATCTTTACTATCAACAGGACCTAGGATATTAGTGAGATATACCTGTGAGTGTGTCTATGATGTTTCCAAAAGATGTTCTACAGGGGAAGAATACCCTGAATGTGGATGGTACTATCCAGTGAGCTGGAGGCCTGCACTGAACCAAATGGGTAAAAACGGGAAGCCAGGCAATGACAACATTTCCCCGTCCCTACTTATTGACCTTCTGACCTGGCTTGTTTGGTTCTATCAAACCCTCCCTGCCACAATGGGCTGAACACTTTGAAACAGTGAGCTAAAATAAAGCTTTGCTCCTGTAAGTTGTTTCTATCAGGTATTTCTGCTACTGTGATGCAAAAAATAACTAAGATAGCTTCTTTGTTCATACACGTTACTAAAATTGATATAGCTATGCAAATATAAATTACAAATGTACTTTAGTACATGATCAAGTTCAAATTTTAATATTCTCCACATTTGGGGGCTGGAGAGATGGCTCAGCAGTTAAGAGCACTGACTGCTCTTGCAGAGGACCTGGGTTTGATTCCCAGCACCCACATAGCAGCTACAAACTGTCCTTAACTCCAGTTCCAGGGGAATCTGAAGCCCTCTTCTGACCTTCGCATCATTGCACAACATGGGTTCACTCACTTACAAGCAGGCAATACACTCATACACATAAAATAAAAATAATAAATAAAATATTTAAAAATGTTTCCACATTTGAATTCTAGATGAAAATAATTAAATGACTGCATATATTAATACTGTCTTCCTTCTCTAAGTATTATGGAAAGAATACAATTTTTAAATTAATAGTATGACAGCACTGGAGAGATGGCTCAGCAGTTAAGAACACTGGCTGCTCTTGCAGAGGACCTCGCAGCTAACAACTGTTGAAAACCCCAGTTCCAGGATATACAATACCCTCTTCTGGCTTCCACATGCATTGCACGAATGTAGTACACTTTATATACATACATGCAAAGCACTCATACACTTAAAAATTAAAAACAGAGCTGGAGGGATGGCTCAGCAGTTAACAGCACTGACTGCTCTTGCAGAGGACTTGGGTTTGGTTCCCAGCACCCACATGCTGGCTAACAACCGCCTGTAACTCCCATTCCAGGGGAATCCAATGCTCTCTTCTGACCTCTGAGGGTACTGCAGGACACCGGTACACTTGTGTACATGTAGGTAATACACTCGTACATATAAAAGGAAAATAAATAAAGTAGTTTTAAAAAATTAAAAATAAATAGTATGAATCACAACTAGAAAAAAAAAAAGAAACGAGTAAGTATTGGAAAGAGAATGATAAAAACCGCATATACTGACTGAAAGCCTGACTTCATCCCTTTACCTCCACTACAGGAGCAAAAGGATGCTCTTCCTGTGCAGGGCCTGAGATGTCCACATTCACCAGGAGGTAAAGGGGGAAGTAAAGCGCCCCATTAGAGTCAATGGACAGAATTCAGAGCTGCCTCCTCCCTCCTCCTCCTGCAGTCAAGAGGAGGTGCCTTACCCACAGGAGGAGCCCTTATTTCCTCCCCATCATGCAGTTCTGAACTGTCCCAAGACTGAGCCTTTCACATGGCTGACACACAAGAGCAGATGGGCCAGACATGGGCAGCAGAGCCTTGACAAACTTAACTGGCCTTTGTAAGGGACTCACAAAAGTGAACCATGAATCTAATCCAAATAAAATAATTACCCACAAAAGAGAAAATTAATTAGAAATGAGAGTTGTAAAACAAAACACCTAGAGTGTCCAGGAAACAGTCCAAAATTATCATATGAGAAAGTAGCAAAGCCTCAATTTCAATGGGGAAATGCAATAAAAACTCACACAATACCCATAGGACAGAAAGTGGAATCATTACATAAGTCATTTAAAGTAACCACCCCAACAATGCTCCAACAACTCATTGTGAAAGTTCCTGAAACAAATGGAAATCTCAGCCAAGACATAAAAAATATAAAATAAGATAGAAAAAGTCAAAGCAAACGGTCCCCCACCCCCAGTGAGATCAATGGCAGAGTACAGATGGCATAGAAATTAGCAAACTGAAGAAAATGGTGATAGACATTAAAGGGAAAAGAGATCAGGAGTGGCACAAAGCTCTGTGACCTGTGCAATGACACAGAAACATACAATACCCTTGTCTTTGGAGTCTCAGAAGAAAAGAAGGTGGGTCTAAAAATACGTTTGACAGAATTATGACTGAAACTTCCCAAATTTGTCCTAGGATATAAATGTATGAATTAAAGAATCTCAGAATAACCCAAACAGGTTAAATGCGAAGAAATCCATAGCCAGACTTGGAAAAAAAAAAAAAAAAGGATAGCCCAAAGCAAGAATAGATACATTGTCTTCAGGGGCAGAACAGACATGACAGCTAACATCCACCAGTAACTCCAGTTCCAGGGGATCCTACATCCTCTTTTGGCCTCTGTAGGTACCACAGGTATATAGTGCACTTACATGCATACAGGCAAAACCACCTGTACATGTAAAATAAAATATTTTTCAAGAAGAATATATCAAAGTATAGGAGAATTCACATGAATCATTGACTGTGACTGCATACGATAAAATTACAAAGAACTCTTACCTTATACCTTGATTATTTTAATAGTATTTGAATTTCCCTTACTGAAAGCATGTATAATAGTAGTAAAATTAAAATGTAGCATCTCTTTTGGGGGACATAATAACTGAATAATAGAAAAATAACATCAGTTTATGTCTTGAAAACATTGGTTATTACATTAATGAACAGAAATATCGTTGACAATTTATTTAAAAAGAATGATGGGGGCTGGAGAGATGGCAAAGTGTTACTGGCTAAGGCTAACAACCAATACATCAAAAACAGGACTACAAGCTATGTATGGTAGCTCATGCCAGTAATCCCAGCATTGGGAGGTGAAGGCAGGAGGATCAGAAATTCAAAGTCATACTGTATAGGGAGTTCAAGGCCAGCCTGGGCTACATGAGATCCTGACTCAAACAGCAAGCAAACAACAACAGTGGAGGCTGGGGGGCCTAAATAATATTGTAGGCTCTGCTCCCAGCAAGGATTCAAGAAGTGCGGGATGAAGCCTGGGAAGCAGGAATTTATATCGTCCCCACGTGTTGGTGCTAGGGTTTTGTTTTACCTCACAGTTTAAGAAACTAAGACAATAATATTGTGAATGAAAAATACAAAGTTCAGTGAGAATTAAAAGCAAAAACAATTTTCAATTAAATAATATTGGTAACAACTGGGGAAAAATATTGGCGTCAATGTATGTTTTTTTTCTGTTCATCAAAGAGAAATGAAGGCACCAAGACAGAAGGAAGCTGCCGGTTGGAGCCAGTATTTCAAGAGAAGAGCAATAACTCATATGCTTCTTCCAGGAAGCCAAAGGAGTGTTGAAATTAGAAGCATAAGGAAAGATGTTGTGTATCCCTGTACCATGTTATTAAGTCAGATGAAAGAAAAAAACCAATCTTTCTCTCTTTTGTGATTCAGTTCCTAGAACCACTCAGTAAGATTTCTGTCTGACTGATGTCAAAGAAATGTGCAACCAGCTGATAATCTGGACAGAAAAGACAGGGAGTACTTTTCTGAAAGATAATATTGTAGTATGAAAATCAGAATTAACTAATTAATTTTACAATAACGGGGATTGAACCCAAGGGCTTCATACATTAGACAGGTACTCTACCACTTAGGCATATACCTAGCTGCATGTTTGTTTTAGCTTTTCATTTTGAGGAAAGGTCTCACTAAGTTGTCCAGGACTTGAACCTTCTCTGGACCGAGGCAGGCCTAGAACCTCGGAACTTCCTGCTTTGGTCCCTTGAGTTTCTACAGCTATAGGCCTATGTCACCTGATCCAGCCAAAACCAGAATTTTGACTATCTGAGGCTCTGAGAGAAAGAGTTCTCCTCAAGAAATGGTAAGGAAAAATACTCTGTGGAACCACAGAAAAGAAGGAAAAGAGGGCCTGGAGAGTTGGCTCAGAGGTTAAGAGCACTGACTGCTCTTGCAAAAGACCCAGTTTCAGTTCCCAGCACCCACATGGCAGCTAACAACCATCCTTAATTGCAGTTCCAGAGGATCTGATGCCCTCTTCTGACCTCTGTAGGCATTGCAAGATACAGGTGCACTTACGTACATGCAGGCAATACACTCATGCACATAAAATAAAAATAATAAAAATATTTTTAAAAAAGAAGTAAATAATACCTGTGACTAGTCGGAGAAACAGAATCAATCTCAAAAAGAAAATATAGAATCAAGACAGAGAAGACAGGGAAGAGGAGGCTGGCAGTCTACAAGACACAGAGGGAAGGAAAAGGAACAGAGGGAAAACGTGTCCATGGGGAATCACACTGAATTGAGCACTAGAGGAAATCCAGGCATGTTTCCATCAACATGTTTTCTAAGCCTTCACAGAGTGAAGCAAAGAATAGACAGGTCTGAATACTGAACAAGACCTGAAGAGATAGAAAAAATATTAACATATAGAGTTGCAAACGGAAAATAATGGAAAAAACAAAACAAAACAATTTACCTTGTCAGAAAGAGTTCATTCTAATTCCGCGCTAATGATAATGTACACACATGTGGGTTAAGCCCACCCAGGTGGGGATCACTCAGAAAGAGGCAGAAATTTCTTCCCTTCCCTGAGATACAAGACATTTTTACCAACTCAAAAAAAAAACAGGTAGTCATGCCGTCATATGCTGGGAATAGGAATTCACATGGACCCATCTGTGTTTCCATGCTCACTGGCTTAACTGCACCCCTGCAGTCCATTCAGTGGATGAGACGGGTGAGGAACCACACAAAGTCCCTGAACATGACATTTGATCTGGCTGGCGGGACTCACTTCCCAGCAGTCCCCCATCCAACGTTAAATTACTTAGACATGACTGAATGATTGGGTTCGACTGAGATTGTCTAAGCAGACAAAATTCACTTTTTCAGCCTTGAATTCCAGTTTCCTCTTTTAGTATGGAACACAAATGAATTTTAATGCACAACAGCTTGACTGACTTACCATCCAGTAAAGTCTTACAACATACTTTCCATAGCTATTGAACAAAGGCATGTGACCCTTCACAGCCTTACAGAGAGAGTAGATGTGTTCCCAAGGCTTCCAGAGCAGAGTAGGTGGCTCTCCCATGTTCCCTTTAAAATAATTGCTCAGAATTCCTCCGTTGAATATCTTCCACACAGCATAGATTTCACTGATAATCCACCTCATAAGCTGAAAACAAAACGAAAGGCACTAGCGTTCACTGGTTATTTTTAAATGGAGGTGCTGCAATTTAGAGAGAAATAAGTAAAAAAGTTCTAAGAGTAATGCTAACTTTTACATGTAATGTACTAGTTGTTTTGATTTTTTTGAGCTACAGAATAAAATCATAGGTCTTGCTTTTGTTTTAAGGAGAGAGAGAGTCATGGTACAAATTAAAATGCTCCACCCCCCAAAATTTGACTTCCATTTGACACTGACCTTCAGTTAGTTGAGTGTATACATGAGAACCAGACTGAGAAAGAGAGAAAGAGAGAGAGAGAGAGAGACAGACAGACAGATTCAGAGAAAATAATGGCTTTTTAAAAAGTAAGCTAGGATGGCAGATTTAAGTATTTTAAGTGTTCTCACCACACAGAGAAACAATATTCTCGATTGTAATAAATACTCAACATTGTGTGTACATATATATGTACATATATTGAATCATTAGAATCATATTTTATAAATACAATTATTTAATTGGCAGCTGTACTTCAAAAAAGTTGGAAAAAATCTTCAGTTATTCCAAGTTTGAAAGTGAGCAAGGGAAGCCTGACAGTGGCTGTTGGAGCTGTTTATGTACAAAGCTGTTTATGCCTACAAAGCATTCTGCAATGGAGTTTCGGGTCTTGCAGTCCTACATACCTCACTGCAGAATAAGTGTTCATTTGTTGAAAACAAGTCAAACGTGATTTCATTTTTCACAATGACAGGAGTCTGAAATAAAAATATAAGGACATAGATATTACTTTGTAAGAAGTATCAAAGAAACACAATTTACTGAAACACAGTTTCATGAAATAGTTGGAGGACAGGGATAAAGTAGAATAAATCTTGTATAAGAAAGCTGTTAATGTTTTATGGGATTTTTGTTTCAACTTTATGAGCATTACTTGATGATTCTTACTGTGGGTCTATACATTAAATCTTGAAAACCCCTGTTCTAGAGTTTTCCTACTTAGTGACTTCACTTCTAAATGTTCTAGACCCTATTCTAGGAGGACCAATTGAGAGCGGGATCTGTGTGGAAGTTAGTAGAGGTGTGCAGGCTGATGGAACATTCTGATCAGTGGAAGTGAAAATATTATCAACAATAATCAAATTTATTTTTAGTGCAGATATAACTGTTGGACACAGGGTATACTAAAAATTAAAAAAGATGGTTCAATTACAAACCTTTTATATTTGCACAGAATATAAATGAACAGTTTATAATAAGAAAATTAATAACTATCAATAGCATATCCATTAAATACATTATATGGACATCACAAAATTTATATTCATCATGTCAATGTGGCCTAATATCAAAACCAATTTTGAAGCAGGATTTGTATATAATTGATTTATTTTAAACATTTTACAAGGAAGCATTCCAAAGTAATTTCATTTTCATAAAAAATTTTGAATGTAGGAATATCCTATTTTTCAAATTAGTATGATAACTAAATTGTACTTTCTTGCATTGGTATCAATGCTGATGAAGGTTAACACTTTCGTGAATGAAAAACACTTTGTATGGAGACAAAGACTCAAATGCACAGAAGAATCAGCTCCATTACAACCATTGACGGGTACTAATTAATGTACCCTACTGGTATTCTGTGCATTCAATGGAAATAGCAAGAAATTCAGCAAGGGAAAAGACATTAGTGATAATTAAAACCCTGGAGACACGAAATACACTCAAACTAATGTGGCTATTAAGATGTTAAGTGAGAGTGTCTAAAGTTGTGAAGTACGTAAGTGCTGTTTAAAATTAAGATTTCTCCCAAAATATATGATCCAAGTGGCTGAGCATGCAGCCCAGAAACCAAGGCAGGCTTTGGCAAATACTTGGGGATCCATGGAAGGTATGATTCCAAGTCCATCTCTTTCAGACTGGAAAATTAATGCTAGTAAACACTGGAGGGACAACGCCTTCATGTCCTTTGATTTCATGCTAAAAGCAAGACAGAGTAAATCAGTCAGTCAGAAGTATGAACAACCTCGGCCATCATTTTTGGCTACAATTTAACACTTTTGCCTATAGTTTGACATTTTGCCTATACTTTAGCACTTTGGAGAAAAGTAGGACAGTCAAGGATCTAGACAAAAATTGTTTGAAACTATTATAAGAAATTATTAACACTGGGGCTGGAGAGATGGTTCAGTGGTTAAGAGCACTGGCCACTCTTGTAGAGCACCTGAATTTTATTCCCAGTACCCAAAAGGTGGCTAACAACCATCTGTAACTCCAGTTCCAGGGAAATTTGACACCCACTTTTGACCTCCTTGCGCACTGGAGGACACAGGTGTACTTACATACATGCGGGCAATATACCCACACCCACTCCTTACAAATAAATAAAATATTAAAAAAATAAATATTAAGAGTATTATGTATGTACATGTTAATGTGGAGGGGGGTACATGTGTGCATGTGTGTGGAGGCCAAAGGTCAACCTTGTGTGTCTTCCTCAGTCACTCTCCACCTTGCTTTTACCAGGGTCTTTTACTTTTACTTAAAACTCACTGAATGTCTAGGCCAGTTGGCCAGTGAGCTCTAGAGATTTACCTGTTTCTGCATCTGCAGTGCTGTTTACAAGTACATGCCACAAGATCTGCTTTTTATTTTTATTGTTTGAAAAGATTTTCCTAGTCCCAGCCCACCTGGAACTCACTGTGTAGAACAGTTTAGCCTTAATCTCACAAAGATCTCTGCCTCCTGAATGCTGGAAATAAAGGTGTGCATCACCACTCCTGGTCGTCTGGCTTTTAAGTGGGTTCTGGGGTTTGAACTCATGTCCTCATACTTGTGAAGAATTTACCAACTAAGCCATCTCCCGAGTCCCACCAGTACAGGAAATTATTAAAACTATGATAAATAATGACTTGCGATTTAGAGGTTAAAAAAGCAATTACTTTTGCTGTAGCCATAAGAAAAATACTGTAAATTATTTGAAAACTGAAGATTTTTATCACTAAAATATTACATTCCTTTAGGTAATAAATATTTTTATTTAATAGTAAAAATAATTCTTACTCGGCTAACTATAAAATCTTGTGGACGTTTCCAGGAA